AATTAATAAAACGTACTTTATTTTACTAATTATAATATAAATATAATAATAAAGCGTTTAATACCCCTAGGTTACTTTATTAATTACTTTTTATTAATTAAGTATATATATATTAAAAAAAGCGTCTTAGTTTCGTTCTATATAAAACGAGAACGAGTACTACTTAAATCGCTTTTTATAACTTAGGTTTTAAATAACTACTTTTAGTAACTAATTTCTTAGTCTTTAGTTTTATTTAATATATTTATTATTCTTACGGCTTTTAGAATTAACCGTTTCGGAATCTTTAACTAGGTTATTTATTTTTTTTATTTTTTAATATAAGCTCGTTAGTTAAATAAAATTATTAAGGTTTAGTTAAATAAAAAAAATCCTTTTTATAAGAGTTTAAAAGAGTTACTTTTTTTATTTATATATATATTACGTCCTTAACCCTCTTTATAAGAGGGTTAGTTTCTCTTATAACCTCGTTTATAACTTTAGTTAGCTATATAAGGGCTAAGCTTAGTTCTGGATTTTAAAAATTAGAAATTAGCTTAAAAATAAATAATTACCCGCTTTATTTATTTAAAAATAAACTAAATTTTTTTATAATCTAGTTTACTTTTTATAGAGCGAGTATAAATAATAATAAGTACTCTTAGTTTATTATTAATAAGGCCTCTTTTTTATTTACGATTCTAAATAACTAAAACTTAGGATTAATAATTATAAGCGGCTATTAGATTTTATTTATTATAGACCTTAATTTAGGTAGTTAAATTATAGCCTTTATATCGTTTTTTAAATAAAAAATAATCTTATTAAATATTATATTATATATAATAATAACTTTTAAAAGCGAGGGGATCTAGATCTTATATATATTATAGGCGTTCGTTATGTATTTTACGAAATATTTAATATACCCCCTCTGTTTTATTTTAAAGCGTTTTTTATTAATTCCTTTTTTATAGTCCCTTTTTAGAGGGTATGCTTAGTAACTATATATATATATTTACTTTTAATAAGGATATAAATCGTAGGTAAGCCTCGGTATATTTATTAATTACTATTACCTAAAATAATAATTAAACTAAACTTCTTTAATTTAAACTAATAAGAGCTAGTTAGTACGTTACTTAGGGCTAATATTATATAAATAGGCTATTACTAATATAGTTTCTACTTATAAATCGTTTAATAGCCCGGTTATAAATATTATATTAATTACCTTATTTATGATTTCCTAGCTAGCTCGCTCCTTACTTCTATTTAGCTCTTTTATATATAAAAAAGTAGTTTTTAGTTTAATTCCGAGCTCTTTTACCTAGGTTTAAAAGTAAATCTCGCTATTAATTATAATTATTATATATTCTACGTCTTACTAAATTTTATAAATAATAAAACCTTTTTAAGTACGTACTTATTACTTAAATAGGTATAAAACCTTAAATACTATATTATAGGTCTTTATAATTCTTAAGAAAATAAAAATCTTACCCGAGTACTTATTTTTAATTAGTATAAGTTACTTACTTTATTTATATATAAGTAAGTAATTAAAAAGGTCCTAAGTAATTTTAAAATACGGCCTAGTTATTCTTTATTTTAAAGTACGTCTTAAGATAACTTATTTTATATAAATAGTTATATAATATTAATATTTTAAATAACTTAGTCCCTTAATCCTTACCCCCCGAGCGGCTAATATAAGTTTTTTAAGTATTATTAGTATAAGATATCTAAACTAAAGGTGCTAAAACTATACCGAATTTATTTATTTACCCCTTAGTTAATACGAGGGATAAGGTATATATTAACTATAAATAAAAATCACATTTATTAATAAAAAAAGACTTTTAAGTAGTAAATAGGATAAATAGGGCTTATATTTTAAAAAAACTAAATTAACTTTCTTAATAAGCTATTTTATTATAATATTCTTAAATAAGTTACTAAAATAAAAAGTATAATTAAAACTAGAGTACTAGATACCCGTTTTCTAAAATAGGGCTTTTAATATAATATTAATATAAAAATTCTTAATAAAGCTAATATTATAAAGGGTTAAGTTTTTAGTTCTAGGTCCCTTTACTCTTATAAAAACGTTTTAAATAATCCTCGTTTTATAAATAAATATAAAATAAAATGCCGTCCTAAAATCTATATTCTTAGTCTTATTATATTATTAGATTAATCCGGGTTCTAAAAGTAACTAATTATTAATAAAATAAACTACGCTATAATTATTTATAACTATATATTTAAAAAAGAGGTATAGGCCTATAAAAAAGATAAAAAAAATAATAAGATTAGTATTTTTATTATTTATTATATTTAACTTTAGTAATAGAGCGACATTAATAATTATAATTATAATATTTAAAAAGTAAAACGCTTTAAAATCCTATTTCTTTACTAACTTTCCTAGTTTACTTAACTTTCTACCTCTTCCTTAGTTATTATTATTAAATTTACTAGGGGCTCTCGCTCGTATTTATTCTTTTTAAGTAAAGTTAATACGAAAATTAGTATATTTATTAGTATTTAAGTAAGTAATTATCCTATTAACTTCAGTTCTATTTAGCTAAATATATTCTTATTTCGTTTTTTTAATAAGAGCGAACTTTACTTTTACGTACTTAATTAGTTTTTAATAATAGGTCTTTTTATAAAAATAGTTCGTAAATAAGTTAGGTCTTACCTCGCTCTACTTAGGGAAGTCTAAATAACCTGCTAATATTATAAAAATTATAAAGTTTTATTTATAACTTTTATTATATACTACCTCTTTGTATAAGAAGTTATTAAATATTTTAATATAATAACCTATATCGGGTACTACCTCGCCTTTTTATTTTATTTTTATAATATTAATAAGTTCTTAATTAAACTAATTTAAAGTAAAGTAGCGAGCAGTTATATAGAAAAAAGATTTAAAAATAAGAGTCCCCTAAACCTCGGGTAACTAAAGCTATACCGCATAATAATAAGCTAAATAAAAATCCTTAATTTAAATAATAAAATTAATATTAAAATTTACTTTACTTATAACTATATTAAATTCCTTTTAAGTAATTATAAACGAACTTAAGTTACTCGGGGTATACTTTTATTTAAAAACTCTAATTATTATATAAAGTAAATAATTAAGTAAATTAATAAATTCTTTTTTTATATTTTTTAAAATATCCTAAATAATAAAATTAATAATTTAGCGGTTTATTAACTTATATAATCTCTTTTTTTATAATTAAGAGATTATTTTAAATACTATTTATTAAATAAAAGAGGTATATTCTTTAAAAAAATATACTTAATTAGCTATAACTAGCTTAGGCTTTATAAAGAAAGAAGGCTATTTTATAAAGCTATCTTATTATACTAAATTATCTTTAGTATTATTTTTTAGGGCTTTTTATTAAATATAATAATTAAATTATTAATTATACTTAACTATAGCCGCTCTATAAGCTTATTTTTAAATAATATTTTATATTTTAATATATTCCTTAATAAGTAAAATAAATTTAATAAAAAATAAAAAATTTAAAGGTAACTTTATATTATTTAAATTAAATAGGTCTTAAATATCCTTTAAGCAGGCCTTTACTTATAGAGCGAAATACTATTTTAATTAGTTTTATTAATAATTAAGCTTATACTTAATTATTTTAAAAACCTTTTTAAAAAATATAGTCGCTTAGGAATAGGCTTTGTAAGTATAATAGAGGTTAAAATTAAATATAAAAAAAAATATAATAAATCGTAGCTTTTAAAAAATAACTTTTTAATAGAAGTTTAATAATTTAAGTTAGAACTAAGCTTATAATTATTATATAATTATAAATAAAGGTATTAACGTTAAATATAAAAAACGGTTATTTATTAAAAATAGGAAATAAGCACGAGGTTCGCCCTAAAATAGAGAATATAAGTAAGTATAGACCTCGGGTAATTATATAACCAAGGTTACGTGACATACGGTGAGGCCATGGATGGTTGAAGCCATTACGATATAGATCGAAGGTTCGTCTTTCGCCACTCTTGGCGAAGTGGACGTGTACCTTGTCTCCATCCTGCTCTAGGTCATTAAGAGAATCGCCAAAGATGTACTCGATTCCGGCGCCGTCATTAGCCTGAACTTCATCATTGACTTTCTGGCTCTGTTCTAGTAGCAACTGTGCCAACCGTCCTCTCAGGATCTCGATATCACTTGTCGGTGTTTGCGTCTTTCCGCTCTTGTCCGCTCCAAAAGCTGCCCAAACTCGATTCTCCTTGTCGACCAACTGCACTCCTTCTTCGCCAGTGGTAGCTGACCGAATAGCTGATTCGAGTCCAAGCTTGCGGATGATGGTTACCCCAGCGCCTCGAACGTCGATGTTTTGGCCTTGAGGGCGAAAGATAGACGCTCTCTCCAAAATGGTGATGCACGGCTTCTCAGATGCAGGCACCGGCGACATCAGCAAGAATGTGGCTAGTGTTGGCCCGGCAATACTGCAGCCTACGATCAAGATATTTAGAGGCGCCATAATGAGATGATTAATGAGAATCCGACTACTACTCCTACAATCCCTGATGCCAAGCCTGGGGTTGCCAAGGCCTTTAAAGGGATGATAGGTGATGGCGTCTTAGATCTGTCTAAGTGACAGAGGGGATACGTTGTAAATATACTACGTCATTTGGCTGTTATCGAGATCCTACCGGCATTCTTCTTCCGTGGGCTGACACTGAGTGCATTCCAGACATGACCTTTGTACGGTGGCTGGCCTAAGCACTAGCTGCATGTGGCAGGGCTCGTGAGAGGTGAACAAAGTTTAAGCAAACCACTACGGGCACCTCAATATTCGTTGACACGCCTGAACAAGTTCGTGTTCGGTATCTGCTTCCCTAAAGTACGTTCAATCTGACGTCTTCCGGTATATCCGGCAGCCTTCTATCTGCTTAGATACATAGGAAAATGAAGTAGAGACTCAAGCAAGTAGACGTGACCTGTCGTAAAGTAAATGTGAATACTATTACTCGACCTTGATCACAATCTTCCCAACAAATCCTTGGGCAAGCATGGCTTTATAAGCCAGTTTGGCATCTTTCCACTCATAAGCCTCTGCAATGATTGGTCTGATCTTGTGTTTCTCAATAAAGGCACTGAGATCCTGAAGCATGCCTAGGCTGCCGTACATCAAGCCTCGGACTGAAAAAGAATGTCAGACACGAAAGCTAGGGGTTAGAGATTATCTTACTTGTCTTGGCACCAAAAATGAGCTCTGGAATTAGATCGTGCTTCTCAGAGGCAGACATGAACCCAATGGCCGTTACCAGACCATCCTGTCGTACCGCACGTACCGACTCTGCCACGGTCGAAGCACCAACAACGTCAAGGACTTGGTCAGCACCACGGCCACCAGTCAAGTCGAGAACCTCTCGGCTCCAGTTGGTCGTGTTTTTGTAACCGATGGCATGCTTAGCACCAAGTTTTCGAAGGAGATCGAGTTTCTCCTCTGATGTTGAGAAGGCGATAACATCAGCCCCGGCAGCGACGGCGATCTAATGATCGTAAGCCCAAGTTGAAATTCTGTTGCATAGCACATCTTACCTGTAGCCCGGCAACACTCACCCCACCAGTACCCTGAATTACCACAGTGTCTCCCTTCTTCAGTTGTTGAGGGCCTCCGAACAGCGCATTCCAAGCCGACACATACGGGCCGCTTAGAGCTGCAGCTTCCTCAAAGGACAAGTGAGAGGGCAGAGGAGCCAGTGCATCATCGTCGAAGACAGCATATTGCTGCAAAACTCCGTTGATGTTCTTTCCACCCAGACCGAGTTTAATGTCAAAGGCGGCCTGAGTTTGGCCGGCTTTCCAAGATGAGTTGGTAGCATTGATGACCCTGTCGCCGATTTTCCATCTCGATGTTGTCGAATTGACTTCGACGACAACACCAGCGCCATCGCCGAGTGGAATTATGCCATCATCAGGATCTCCGCCGAGGTATACGGGGTCCGAAGTCAAAACCAGGAGGTCTCGGTAGTTAAGAGAGGTAGCGTGGATTCGGACAAGAACCTGGCCTTCCTTCGGGCTGGGTTTAGGCACTTCCTCGAGCGAGAGGTTTTGGTCGATGCCCTCATTGGTGCAAACTCCTTGGGCGTGATTCCTGATTCGCCAGGCTTGGGACTGATCTTGCAACATTCTTTTGAGATAGGTGTTTGTCTTTCCAATTTTCGTGTCGTTGTTAAGTTTAATGGAGAGAAGATGTTGGGGTTTAGTAATGGAACATGAAATCGTGCTCGAAGTGACGGTTATTGGTAACTGATTGCTATGCTTCTGTTTTATATATGTTCTGTTTCCATTGATCTTGCTTCAAGCTCAGTTCAAGTTCTTAGCCGTTGTTTGTAGCTCTACCGACTTATACCGTGGTGTGTTTTCTACGACTATGAGAAAGGGAGGTTCTCATAATCCGGAGTTCCACGGGATAGTAAGCAGCACGTAGCTTTTCTGCCATGCACAAGTACTTGATGTCAGCAGTCACACCATCATGGCCATCCGTGGCGTTTGCAGTCGGTTTTAATTGTGATGCTTTCTGGAATGGAAGACGTACCTTGGTAATCAATCAGCTAGGTACCAATCCACGGGGAAATTATCAAGCCAGCGTCAACAGCGTCGTCATCCCAATAACGTTATAGTCCCGGGCCCCGCTAAGAGACTTTGAATGATTCAAGGTAACTGCAGGCATCCATTCACGACTCGCAATTTCATGAGCTCGAGATCATAAGGCCATTTGTAGTAAGTGTATGTTCGTGCTAGGCACATATGGCGAAGCAGTGGCGAAGGTGTCAACCACATCATTTTGCTGATGCGCGTTAGTACCAGCAACTCATTCAAAAAAAAATGCACTGACCTCGACATGCAAACTATCTGAGAAGTGAGAGTCTATGTACACTCACAAATAACGTCCAGCCATGGTCGCTGGCTGGTACGACGGGCCCTCAGTAGATCGAGTTCATGGAAGTCCAATCCGAACCGCGATTCAACTAGTTGCTAAGGTTATCCCGAGAGTTGCGAACATAACGAATCTCAACTGAGCAGCAGAGGGCCAAAGATCCCACTTTCTCACGTAGCCCAATAGGATAGGTCAAATCTCTGCGCCGCCAGACTCGCATACATTCCAAAATACCCCTGCTATACGGATACCTGCAGATAGGCTTGCTTCGAGTTGACCCACGAGCAAAGGCATTGGCCAATAATCTGGGTTTTATGAGAGTAAATTGCAAAGACTCGGCTGCCTAAGTACATGCTGTTCGCGGCAATGTTTTTGCAGGATTTCCTGCTGCTTCAGCGGACGAACAAGGAGCCGTGGATGGTACAGATCAGCCACGTAGAGAATCTGTTGTGGTCAGCTTCATTCAAATGGCAGTGCTTTATCACTTACTCTGTGAAATACAGAAAGAATCCTCCATAATGGTATGGTGTTCGCCTAGACGAAAATTCAAATACGGTCACAGGAGTCAGGCAGCAGGCTACGATCTCAACACAAGCAAGGGACTCAGGTCAGTCCTCTGATGTTCTTCCCCTTTCTTCCGATCAAGCAGTATGTACACTCGGAAAACGATGGTCTCATGGCTCAGGACAGTAGTTTCTACTTCACGGATCATGACTACCATGGCATGCTCGCTTACTATGATGGACTAACGTTGATTTTTGTGCATCCGGTGACCCCGAGATAATCCTGTGCGATCAGGCTGCAGCTGAATGAAACATTAGTATTTCGTAGGGATTTGTAGGTTCTTGATTTATGGCCTGCATTTCGCCTACGGACATAAGTCCATCTTGGGCCATTGCCGCTGCGGCTGACCTCGTGTCGTAGCACCTTGACCGGGGTGGGAACATTACTTCTCAACTACAATCCCTTGCGCGCCTGCACCACACATGCAGGCAGATAAGTAGCTCATAGGGGTTTTCTGAAGGTATGCATGGCAGAGTACCAATTTGTTCCTTCCCTCTGACCAAGTTTACAGAAAGACCAAATTCTGGACACAGGTCAGTTATAGTCGACATTATCGTTGTTAGGAACTAAGGTAGCTAATGAATTCCGGCACCGTTTTATCGGGGGTACTTTTGGTCGAACGGTTGCCTTTTGCATGGTGTACCATTAATACTGGACTTACAGGTTCTACTGGGTTCGAAAGCGATCCCCTTGCCTTGTTCCAACGCTGGTCATCATCAACATGCAGCCACCGATACACTCTTTCGACTGATTCGGGTGGGAGCTAAGCAGGTAAACAGCTCCTTAATTGGTACATGCTGCAGGCGACCGACCTCCATGTCTTCGATCTGACCACCCCATTGACCAATGCGGATAGGTGATTGAAATGGCTGCGACATAACCGCGAGCCTCGTTTTGGCCCCCATCTCCGTTGAGCCCCTTAGACCAACAGTGCTTGCACTGGCCGTGAAGCGGGGGGGCATCGATAAATTAGCTGCAGTGCTTGGCTACCTATAAACCACCTTCATCCCAAGAAAACCGCTTGAGTGAAACCATTTTTGAGGCTCATTCCGTTCTACAACCTCTCTTCCCCTACCTAGAAAAGCTAGTATGGGAGATCATGCCAGCTCTCCAACATGCCTATCAGCAGAGCCTCACGGCCCAGCTGAAGGGAGCCACGGAACTATTCGAGATCACGCTGCTCACTATTTTGGTTGCATCGAAATCGCCGATCGAGTCAACTATCTGAGCCGAGAGAAAAACTGGGAGCTCTGGGACCACGAGATCCAAATCGAGGCTGAGAGGCTGCAGCAACGAAAGCCTACCACCAGTGAAGAAGAACGGCTAAAGACTGCGACAGAAAAGGTGGAAGCTAGAATCAAGAGTCTCGCTGTGAGCATCGAAGCACAATACAAACGAACAGACATCCTTCGAAAAGCACTATCGGAAGTGAAATGTCCCCATTGCAAAGATCAACCTCGAAACAAGCACGCAGAGGATCAAGCGAATAAACACCCTCCCTGCGACTTGGTTAATCTTGTATCTCACAGTCACGAGGAATGGAAGAATTCAAACAGCTACAAGAAGGGAATCGAGATTATTCGAGACTGGAAACGACGCAAAACATCATCGGCACAGAGTAGCGATGTTGAGGACGAGCATCTCACAAATAGTCCGAGCTTATCAAGCAACGGCCGGCGCAGAATGGTACCTGAGAGGGAAGAGGCTCGCAAGATCATCCGGGACGGCCACGCCGATGTCGATTATGCTTTTGGAGAAGATGAAGACACACCTTCATACGAGCTAGAACGAGATATGAACGGCTACCTCATTCAGTGGAAGATTTTGAGACCGGGAGAGTCGCGCAAGAAGCTCGATCCGACCACACCAATCAATATCTCGCCAACGTCTATCAATCCACCACAGCTTCCGTCTCTTCCCCCTTCACCTCTTCAGGCTCTTCGAACTCGGCCAGCTAGAGCGCCGAGCGAAGCTACAGTTCAATTCGAAGCTACAGACCATAAACAAAAGAGACGTCCGACCGGACCCAGTCGCATGCGCTCTGGGACAACGCAATCCACATCCTACTTCGAGCCTTACACAGAACAGGAGAAATATCTGGAGCCGTTGAGCGAAGATATAGACGATTACCGTTTCAAAGGAAAGTTTCCTGATCAGAGACTGACATTACAAAACCTTCTCTACCCTGCACCGGAGAGGCCAGAGTCTCGGGACGTAATCCTATCTCGAGATCGTCCGAATAAGGATGGAAGTCCGAATAAGGATGAAAGAGTGCGGTACTTCCATATACCGCATAACAATATGCAGGTGAGGGGAATCATCTTGTTGACATGAAGTTCCATGCTGATGTGATTTTGTAGTGGCTAGAGGTACATTGTGATCCAAGCTCCCCATCTTGCTCACTGGGCTCACTCCGTTGCAGGAGGCCATCGCACATTACTTCAATGAAGAATATCCACTGTACGACGGAATCTACCGAAACCCGTTGAAAACGCACAGCCGTATGGTCTTACGTCCTGAATACTGGAGAGGTCAACAGCATGGCGGCAGACGCACATTGGTACATGCTAGACATATGCGTGCTATTTGCGAGCGTATTTCGTCGAGTAAGCCACTTGCTTTTGCGATCTCAGACTACTACATCGCGTTTAATTGCCTTTAGAATCATACTGATGATTTGAAATAGGGATCTGGGAGGTGGAAGACAACCCTGATAACCTTGTGCTGTTTGTGAGTTACATGCTCGTGAAGTCAAGAGACATTCAATGGAGGATCTATTTCCTGGACTAATCGACGTCACATTCTGATAGATGCCCTACTTGCACTGGGAGGAAGATCGTAAGCGCGACAAGATGGCTAAAATTATCGACAAGGATTCGGAGAGAAACCGAGAGGAACTTGAGAAGCAGCGCAATGCAGCCCGGGCCCGGAGAGTAAGCGAACGTACTTTCAAGCCAACCCCTACCAACAACAAGCAAGTACGAAACCTGCTCGAGCCCGACCTTTGCCGTATCAGGCACCACGACAAAGTTTCTCCGATTCATAAGGAAAGCATCATCAAAGCTTGGAAGAAGAACGCAGGCGGAAAACCGAACGGCAAGCAAGAGAAGACTATGGTCGACGTTGCTAGTGGACTAGCAACAGGGGGTGCGGTTGAACATGAGCACGGCAGTGATGGCGACAACCTGTGGTCTGTCCCCAAGCTGGAATGCTCCGATCATGGGAGGCTGCGGATTGAGAACAAGCTAGGGCAGTTTCTTTTGGATTCCGCAAGGCTGTATGAGGCAATGTCCATGTATAGAGATCAGTGTCTGGTTGAGAAGTACCTTCACCACGATCCACCTCTACATCCCCGACGCACCCTCGACCAGTCTTACTACTGGACTCTAAAGACAACAAAAGCGAGAGACAGAGACCAAGTTGTCTATCGTGGCACAACTATGGATGAGAGAAACATCCATAGATTTCGAGAACGCCGTGGAGACCCTGCACAGTCTTGTAAAGAGAAGAAACCGTTTCGGCGCTTCTCTTCTCCCTCAACCACTGAGCAAAACACTGGCTGTGATGTTCAGGCCTCATCCGAAAGCAATTTCGGCCGCTATAAATGGGATGGCCACTGGACGAAGACCGACGAGGACGGCTGCGACCACTGTAGAGACGAGATACGCAAAGTGTCCAGGATTGTCATGGTTGACCAGCTGTGGATGTGGATCTTGGACAAGCGGACGATCATCACCAGTTTCCCGAAAAGATACGGCGCCAACAAGTCAGATCCCTCGGGAGTTCACAAGTCGATACGCACCCGTATCAAGCACGCTCGCAAGAACCAAATTCGATCTGTCTTTGATGTAGCGCTCATCATTCTCGATGAGTGCTCGAACACATTCTTCGACAGGACCAAAACACCAGTGAGTAATGCAATGACCTCTTGTATCTCTTGCAGAGTCCTCTAAAAACGGTTCAGGATCGACATCCGCAGGTCATGGACATATTCGCCGAGTCCATCGGCACTCTGGTAGGCTAACTCGCTGGCTGAAATATCGTCACCTGGAACTGACTGCTACATAGCAAAACAAACAAACGGTCTCTTTCCAGCATCTATGGCACTGGACTGAGCAAGCCTCCAAGGTGTACCATTCCAAGTCAGCGTTTGAGGACACATCCCATCTTCACGTCCCGCTTCTTAATATCAACCCCGAGGGCAAGCTGCAGCGAGAGATAAAAGATATTATCGATGAGCTAGACATCATGATACATGTCAATGGGAAACAGAGGGAGGTCATCAAACGGTTTGTAAAGCACGTTGAAAACATCTACGACCCGAGTGGTAAGTGGCGGGACGAGACACTCAGCCCGGATGGCAACCGGGACTACTTTCGTTCCCGGTCAATGTCGCGAAGTGGCGAAGAGGTCAGATCTACGGAAGAGGCTAGGAAACAAGAGGAACGCGAGAAGGATGAGTTTACTTCGTTCCGCAAACAGGCATACGATCTCATATCGGATGTGGACGACCGAATGAACGAGCTCGAAAGCCTGCGCAAAAGCGCCGAAACTACATCGCAAGGCGTGGGTTCTTTTACCAATACCTGGGTTGACCCACCCGCTAACTGACAATATCCAGATCAAAGACCTTCTCGACCTGAAACAGCAGCAGGCTAGCATTCTGCAGGCATGGCAGTCAGTCAGACAGGCAGACGAGAGCGTTCGCCAAGGAAGATCTGTCATGATCTTTACGATTGTTACCATCATATTTGTACGTTAAATCTCTTGATTGCCTTCCATTGCCCCCTAATTTCTCCATCTCCCCTTTCTGCGCTGGGATTCCGCAGGCTAACATTGATGCCAAGCTACCACTGTCGTTCATGTCTAGTGTGTTCGGCATGAACAATAGAGATATCGGCGACACCAACATGTCTTTTGGAGACCAGGCGAGTTGGATGTGTAAGTAGTCGAAATCCCGGCCACTTCTGTCCACTCCTTGCAGTGCACTGACAGACATCTCTAGTCCCAATATCCGCCAGTGTGATTTTCATTTCCATTGTATTCGCCTTTTGGACTTACCCGCGCACGCTTTTCTGGTCTGCATACAAGCTGTCAGAGACATGGGTTCTTGTTACTTTCGGCTTCTATACACTCTATCTTAAGATTGGAGAGTGGAAGAAAGACTGGACGACGAGCGATAAGATGCTGAAAAGACTTGAAAAGAAGGTGGAGGGCATGAGGAGCCAAGTCAAAGACCAACGCCGTACCGAGCGCGAAAGGGCAGATGCCGAAGTATTGGAAAAAAGCGTAGGAGACGCCAAAGTCTGAGTATTGCTTAACTATCGGGAAAGGAAGTTTATGTTTGAACCTTCTCTGTACTTCGGAAGTCACGATGTCATGGCAGAGCTGTACTGATCATGTGGACAAGGCTCTTGGAACACCGTCCTGACTCATTGAGAAGTAATTCCATAGAAATGAACTCCCGTTTCTGGAATCTTCCTCACAGCATTCGTCGCTCGAACGCGCATAATGTAAATAGCTATTCATGTAGTATACTAGACAGGACTGGGCTAGTTTCGAAGAGTTCCTAGACATAGCCCGTACACTAAAAGACCTGGCCCTTGGTTTGGTGCACCTTTGCCACATTGACATTCTTCCACAAAAACACACAAGCAAGCGCCAAAGGCATGAAAGCCGCACCGCAAATGACCATATGCCGCTGAACATCGCCGTAGGCGTGCACAATACCAGCGCGAGCGGGAGTTCCCCAAGCATACGAAAGTTGCACCTTGATGTCCCCGTAAATCGTAGCAGCATCACCCTTGTTGTCCTCGGGGAGGTACTTGATGAGGAAGTCGAGAAATTCATTGGTCCAGATGGCGCCCGAGATGGCGCGGCCGATGGAGCGACCGACCGAGGTGGCCAAGCCGATGAGGGCCAGCATCACGCTGACTTCGTTGTGCTTGACGACGGACATGACGGCGAGTTGCTCGCAGATGATGATCGTGCCGGCGGACACAGCCTTGAGGATCTGGCACATGATGATATAGCCGATGTAGGTGTCGGGGGTGCGGAAGTGGATGAGGAGGCCGGTGGAGAGGCAGGCGACGGGGATGGCGGCGCAGGCGATCCACTTGTAGTGGTTGGTCTGACGGATGAGACTAGGTATTTATGTTAGCATTGAAGCCAACCAGGGGCAGTCTGTCATGGTATGGCTTACAGTCCTACGATAGGTCCCCAAGTGCAGGAGGCAATCGTATAGATGTTGCCGATGAAACCAGCTTGGCTGATGCTCTGGCGGTGAACGACTTGCAGGTACGATGAGAAGAAGGAGTCCCACGAGCTAGTTGTAGATGTCAGTGATTGTTCGTGACCTTCGACGGGAAGATATTTACCTGAAGCTCAAACCGATGACACCAGCCACGGCAGCCGATCCAAGGATAGTCCGGTCCTTGAGGTTGATCCATGGCACAAGAGGCGTAGTTGTGTACTTCTTTTCCCAGAAGCCGAAAAGGACGAGACAAAAGATACCCAGGATAATCATAGCAATGATGTGGCCGGCAGCCCACTTCTTGGCGGTGTAGGAGACCAAGCTGAACGGTAGCAGGAAGAGAGAGAATCCGAACATGATGAGAAACATGCCGACAACTGGGTTTCCCTTAGCTTTCGTCGCCCATTGATATTCGTTGGTTGTTAAACTCACCATCAAACTCCGTGCAGTAAAAGAAGAAGGACTCCTTCAGAGACCGACCACTCTCCTTTAGCTCCGGTCCTTGACCCAGCTTGTACGCCTTCCGGAGGTTCCACCACAACATGATCGTAATCATGGAACCAAAGGCGGGGAAGATGATAGCAAAGGATCCAAACGCCCATCGGAAGCTACTGTGGTCGTTGAACAGCTGCGCAACAATAGGTCCGGCGAACGCATTGGCAATGTACGCCGTCGAGTTGAGCGTGTAGATAATCATTCGGTTCCGGATAGACGTGGTGTCAGAGATGAGGACGGTGTGAATGTAACCAATACCACCACTTCCAACAGCCCAGAATACCTAGTTTGACTAAGTAAGTATCAACAAGCTGGGTAACGAGGAAGCTTTTCACGAACCTGTGCAGCGGCGTAGGTCTCGACGTTGCGGCAGACGGCCATCAAAATTAGACCGAAGCAGCAGAGGAGGTGGGCCAGCATGTAACCTTCCATGCGACCAAAGATATTGAGGATCTTGGCGAGGGGCAACTGCGAGACACCGCTAGCCAGGCCTGAGACGATACCAGTCGTAGCAGTGAGGCCATGACGACGGAACGATGAAGTAACGTAGGGTCCGAGATTGCTGTTCATCTGCTGTTGCATTGAATGGGTGTAAGACGTCACCCAGATCCTAAAAAGATCATCTGTGTCAGTGAGGGGACCATTTGAGCCCTGCCGTCTTGGATCACACTTACAAGATGTAGGTAAAGATGAGGGCTCTCCAGGTCCAAGCCGTGGTAATGGCCTGGATCTTCTTGACACCATTCTGGGCCTCCTCCTTCTCGCCCTCGACATCGTTATCGGTGCTGATCTCCGTCGTTGTCTTGCCTGGTGTCTTTTCGTCGAGGCTCTGAGTCTGACTCTCGGCTGCGGCCTGCTGGACGAAAGGGGAGCTCATGATGGGCAACTCTTGTCACGGGACGCCTGACTTGGGATTGGGGGTGTGCCTTGAGACGAAAGTAACGCAGACTCAACAACGAGGGTGTCAGTGAGGACCCCAGGGTTATGTAGTCGACTTGTCATGCGGAACAAAGTACGGAATAGGAAACGATTTTCCATGAAAAGAAGCTTAACACGAAAGGACGAGCAGAAATGTTACGTAAATCCACTCTGTCCAAACCACGGTTACCACCTGCAGCGGAACTGACAGACCGGACAAGACCATCTTTCCAGGGGTCCTTTCGTTCGACATGACTGTCATGTCCGACAACATCCCGGCATCGGATGAGATCGTACGGCACAGCGAGTGCAAAAATTTCATATTGACCATGGCCGGGCGTCTTGGTGTCCCTCTCGAAGAGCGTGTCCAGTCCCCGAGTTTGCACGAACTCGATCCACACGTCACGACTTGGCACTGGGCAGTATCTTTTCGTTGGCTGGTCGTTGGTTCACCGGGCGAATATCTCGCCGCGAATGGGTGTCCTAAAGCGGTAGTTACGAGCCTGCTTCTTCAGTTGTGGTCCGCCAAGTGGGACACAAGACGTCGTATTAAAGACTTTTTGCGCTGCCATCTGCACTAGAAGCGACATCGCGTAGCTTAGAGGCCCCAGACTCCTAGAGCGGTTCCCGCGCTGGCCAACGAGCGGGCGGGATATTGGGTCCCTCCAAGGTCGTATCGCGCCGGCTTGGCGCGTGTACGGTTGGCAACGGATCAGATAAAAAAAACTTTGATGCTTGGCCCGCATGCAAGAGCGGATCTGATAAGATGAAAACGGGTCACCATTGGTGGCATCCCGGGATCTGGGTGGCCCCAAATTCTAACCGAGGGCATCCTTGGGATCCATTCTTGAAAGGCTCATGGGGCGACGATGTGACATTTCCTGCAACGTTGTTCTGCGGTTGGCTTCATCATCTATTGGTCATGGAAGTAAGCTTATACCATGGTGGGTTTAGGCGAAAAAGTTTCGAAGTGCTAAGACAACCTGACTCTACCTTCACACATCCCTCGATGATGCGACAGAGTATTTCATAAGTTGCCTTGGCATGAAACTCAGGAGAGAGTCCCTCTGGCAGGCGGTCGAACTTGACCAAAGCTCTGCCATGATTCTGGGGATACGCCCTTGTGGGTATTCCATGAAGATATGTAGCTCACGAACCAGGCACTTCGGACCCCTCGATGTTGGTATGGGGCAGAAAGGCATTGACTCCACTCTATTCCGTAGACTGATAGGCAGCGATAGCGTAAGGCGAGGTTACGGGCAGACTATTCCATATGGCATACCTTCGTCTTTTCGGAATTATAATCGAAGCGCCCCCCAAACTCGGCCGAGTTGAGTCTGGATCTCATAACAACGTGTGTGGGTTGGTTGGTTTATTGCCACAAATATGAGAGTTGAGGAAGGTATTTCCGTGAAGCTGGTCCTCGAGGCTGCGGCGTCGGAATCCCAATCCCGGAAACGGTCTCTCCGAGTCTTGTCTGCTCGTCGTGTCCGCTACTTTTCGCGATATCTGTTGCGGGAGTGAAAGCATTCAAATCCATTCATGAGTTCCTCTCACTCTTTCTCATCATGACTCTGTCCGCAAAAGCTCACCATACTAAGTATGGATGAGGCCAGTGTCACGCAGGTAATTCCGGGCACATACGACTGCAAAGACATCAGAAAGTCAATATTTGAGCTCGGCCATCAATATACACCTGGTTTTCTAGATTTGGCTTCGCAAAAGTATTATCGATTACCACGGTGGAGGCTTCACATAGCTTGAAGGATCGTTGTCCAAGGGACTTGGGTGGCGGTGGTCGCAACAAAGTTCACTTTGCCGATGGATGCGCTAAGCCACTTTCGGGACCCTGAAAATCCCAGGCAACGACGAGTGGAGCCCCTTTTTGTTACTTTCAACCTTTCGTCTTACCTCTCACCCATCCCCGTCTGATCAAGCTCGATAGTCAAAGTCAGAGGCCAAGGTGAGCAAGCGAGCGAATTTCTAATCAACATGAACGTATCAATACTGACAATCAGATAGAAATCTTGGCGCGAATTGAGCTGAGGCGCTGAGCCTGTCGTTGGACCCCAGCAACCCATCAGTACCCTCGCGTAGATCCGCAACGCTCACAGCACCAAAGTGGTGCAACCAGCCATGGCCAACATCTTCCGCCAAGCCATCTCATGGCTCTACACCACCCTCGCCGTCTCCATCCTCGGATCATGGACCCTCCTCATCCTCGGCGGCGTCGGCCTCACAGCCGTAGACTCGAACCCAGGCCTCCTCCAGCTCATCGCCTTTCCCTCCCTCCTCACCTTTCTCGTCGCAAAGCTCATCGTCGCCGCCTCGCCCTCAACAGCACTCCAGCAGTCACAAGCAAACGCCCGAAATGCCATCGCCGCGGCGCCGGCCGGCGGTGGTAACTTAGCAACCTGGCTCGCAACAGCAGACTACGGCTCCCCGCACGGCGCCCTCGTCCTCTTCCTCTTCTCCGTAACCTGGCTCCTGCACCTCGCGCGCGTAGTCTTTGCCCTCTTTCTGGTGGTTCTAATGGGTGCTTTCTTCGTCTTTGCGTCCTCGCTCGACGCAGCCGATAAAGAAGACAAAGAAGCCGGCGGCGAGGGTCTCTTCTCCGACGACGACGGCGCGCGCAAGAATTTCACCACCGCGCTCGCCGAGTTTGAGGAGCAGGCGGGGATCGGGCTGGGCGATTACCTTGTTGATAACCCTTGGGTTGTCTTCCAGGTGTTTGTGGCGCTTTGGGGCATGATGAATCTGTTGCTCATGTATCTTACCGTGTATGCTTTTGGGGCGTTGAAGAAGGTTCTGACGACACCTCTCGAGGCTTGGGCGAGGGGCGGTCAGGAGGCGGCGGCAGCGCCTGCTCTTGCGGCTGGGGGATCTCCGGCAGCAGAGACAAGGGCCCCGGTTGTCGTCGTTGAGAAGGAGAGGGTGGTTGTGCCGGCAGAGGCGCAACCTGCAAATTAAGTGTTTGGCGGAGGCAAGGAAGAGGAAGGGGTATCGGTTACATGAGCAAGGAAAAGAGGCAAACGGAGGGCCAATTCATTACTGGATCTGTAGCCTCCCGTCGCCAAGCCGGGGCGGTGAACAAGCTCGGGCCGGGACTGGGTGCGTGGAGACTTCGGACTCAGCTCCGGGTGGGTCTCTCCGGCACCTGCCCGGGCGTTCAACTTCCTCCGCCCCCGGGTGAGGCAAACGGGACAGGACAGGGAAGGAAGTAAACCACACGTACCTGCCAGGCTACCATCAATGGAATACAATGGAACACTACGCCCCGTGACCCCCCCAAACAGACCCGCGTCCGTCCAAGAGCTGCCTGCCCTCTGCCCTCAGTATCTCTCAATCAACCAAGGCAACCGTGGTGCAGTGGTTTAGCATTCCAGCCTCCCATTCAGGGAATCCAGCTGGGGACCTGGGTTCGAACCCCGGCGGTTGCAATCATTCCTTTTTGAATCGTCGTGATAGTTCTGATATGATACCTTGGCTTCTTTCTTTTGCTCCGGGACCGCAAGACCGCGGCTGCTCACTCACTCCTTGCTATAACGAGCCACGTCCTACTTATTCCTTGCGAGCACTTATGAAATGAAAGAAGAAAATGGGAAGGAAAAAAAATAGTTTACCACCGGTGTGGCTACATCTCTGGCGCTCATGCTGGGATTACAACTCGGGTACTCGCTAAGTCTGTCGTCGAGTAGGCTGGTTGGCGCATAGAATGTTAGCCTTGAACCACTCCACCACCCAGCCAGTTTGACCTGACCCGTCGAACTAGATTGGCGCCTGCTGGCTGGTGACAGAGATGGGATTGATGGGGGTTACATACCCTTTGCGCTGGAATATGAGTCGCCTGGCAAGATAGCTTCCCTCAAAGCCTTCCACACTATCCCGAGAATTTCTACCAGTGTCGGCATTCGTAGACTTGAGCAAGGTCTTGAGCAGTGTATTCAGATCAACCAAGAGATGTTCTCGTTGCCCAGCCGCATAAAGATGCCGAGATATCCCATCCAGTCATGCTTTCCGGTCATCGTCAGTGCTCAGGCATCACTCGACCAAGGTAGGTAAACGGAGTGGCCTTGCCGTATGACGGTCCTACGGACAAGCTTCATTCGGTCATGTGCGTCAGCCTCAGTCTTTGGCCGAATGTTATGAAAACGTTCAACCTTGATTAACATTAGATCAACATGCTCTATCTACCTCTACTTCTTCCCCTTGCTCTATTTGTTCCATGTGCCAAAGGCCCTTCCAGGCAAGTCAACCCAATCCACGCCATGCATCGCAAAGCACACACACCAATCATTCTACTTCCCACCTCATATAGTGACTCCCTCCAGAATCCGACAAGCCTCGTTCATCTTCTCCGTGATCCCATCACAATTCGTCCAAGCAAACATATCAAAATGGCTTCCCTCTGTCAGCAGCACTTCCTCCACAAACCCAGGACAATACCCATCCCACCCAAGCTTCTCATCCCCACGATACACGTCCACAGAACTGATCCCCTCGACCGGCATAGGAACATGTTCCTTGGCCTTGACAAGCACAGCCCTGGGCGGCCTCTCCCACATGACCTCGGCCGTCTCCTTCTCCTCTTTAGAGACGTAAAAGTCCTTCTCTACCTCGTCGCCGCCGCCGGCGCTCTCACTCTCCACCGTGGTCCTCTCGTCGACATCACCGTACCCGGCAGCCTTGGGCACCTCCACATCCGTCTCACTCGCAGCCCCGCACCGAGGCATCTTCCACACCCTCACCACCTGCCCGGCCATCTTCATCGCCCTCTTCGCCAGCCTCACATTCTTCGGCTCCTCCGTTTCCAGCTTCTCATCTTCCACAAACCTCCCAATCTTGACCTCCGAACCTTTAGGCCAGACGGGGTACACGCTATCCACCAAGAGCAACCCCACAATCTCGATATCACGATCCTCCTCCCCGACCAACCTTGCAATCTCCAACGAAAGCAACCCGCCCAGGCTCCACCCTCCCAACAAGATCCTCCTCCTCTTCAATCTCCCTCCATCAGCGGTGGTAACATATGAATAGGGAGCCTGGGCAGGGTACTCCCGTCCCTTGGTAACGGTATTCCGAATCATTTGCAGGTACGCCGCCGCCATCTCGGGGACGCCGCCTTCCCAGGGCACACCGGAGTGGAAGCGCGGGTTCGCGATGCCGAAGACGGCACGGCCTGCGAGCTGGGAGAGACAGTGGTAGGCGAACGTTGTGCCGCCGCCGTCGTGGATGAGGATTAGGGGCGTGAGGGTTTGGCCGCGCGGGGTGGCGGGTTGGATGACTTCGCATTCTGTTGGGGCTGAGTGGGTGCGCATTTTTAGGGGGGTTTGTGAGGGTTTTGATCCCTCGGGTGTGTTTGTGTGTGTTGAGTTTGTGAGTGAGGGATTTGCAGACAGTGATGGTTGAGTGGAAAATGGCTGGGTGAGTGAGATTACGGTATCGCGGGCCGATCTTGAAGTCGCGATCGGAGAAGTGCTGACGATGATGCGGGGATTCCAGATCCGAACTACCTCGCTCACTCTCTCTTTCGGTTCACTTGGCAGAAGACGTTTTGGAGGAGGTTGAAAATATGAGAGGGTGAGAGATATTTGAAAAGAAGAAGAATGTCCGCAGTGTAATATGAACGGGGAGAGACAACGTTCAGTGAGATTGGAGGATGACTGAGGCGATGATGAGAAAAGGAAAGAAAAAAAAGATGAGATGAGATTTGCGCACGTCGCAGAGTCACTACTGCGCCCACCTTTGCAGTTACAGCTTTCCAACAGGTTCTCGAGCACATGCAAGACGGACGTCGAAGGATACAGCTGCGCCCAATCGCAAGTAGCAGCTCACTCATCACCCCCCCAATTCCTCCAGTTCCTCCAGTTCTAGGCCACAGAGCAGTCTGCAGCGGGGCGCGGGGGGGGGTTCCATTCCCTTCCGCATCGGCGTTCGGCGGTCCCGTCTTCGGAGGGGGGATGGGACCCACCGGTTCGGGGGTTTTTTCAATTCATGTGCTGCATTTATGTCGCCGAGTCGGGGGCCGAACATTACTCTTTTGTCACTTTTGATCAAGAGACATTATTCTGGCGTTCCACTTCATAAAAGACTGATCTTATCACCATCCAAAGGAACCATTGATTTCACATATCTTCACTCACAGCAATAAACCCGAATCATAACTGTCTGAAGATGGACCCAACGCACAAGTCAAACCCCCCTGTACTTGGAACAAGACACTGATTAGATTGTCACTGCAAAGTAAATTCCCAATATACCTCTTTTCCATCATTTCTCCATGAACGTGATTCCATTCGATGCAATCTAGTGTAGATCTACTCACATCATACACTCAAGGAACCTCCTCTCCTACGCCCTGAGTGAATACTTCAAAAACATCTTCTCCCTTGGCTTGGACGCAGAGTGCTTGTTCCGATCCACCGAGTCCTCGGGCACCCTCGCCATCTTGTTCCCCTTGGCGTCCACTAGGTGGTAGTCGAACCTTGCGACGAAGAGCGCCGTCGTGACAGCCATTTCCATTTTCGCAAACTGTAGCAAGAATATTAGCATGTGTGACTATACGGAGGGGCCGAATCACCAAAAACACCAAAACTATTCAACTTGAAGGACCCCAGAGGAGCAAGTCAAGTAGATCAGGGGATGCAACACCAAAAAGAAAAAAGACTCACCCTCATCCCAAGACACGGATGCCTCCCAGCACCCCACCCAATAAACGCATGCGGATCCTTCTTATCCTCCTCCCGCCCAGGCAAATACCTTGCCGGATCCCACCGCAACGGCTCCGGGAAGAAGCCCGGATCCATGTGCGTGGTATCAAAATGATACACCACATACGAATCGTTCGGCACAACCTCACCGCTCCCACCAATAGCAACATCCTTCCCGCTCCCGTTATACCGGAACCCGCACCCCGTAATCGTATGCCGAATCGTCTCCTTCAACCCCAAATCAATCATCGGAAACTCGGCCTCCCACGTCTCCATATCAAGCCTCCCCAGGATCTGTTCCGCCGTCTCCTCCTCGGACCGTCTGTGTCGCGCAATCACACCGTCCACCTCCTTCTGCACCTCCCCATACCACCTCGCCTCCGTCGCCATGAAACACAAGAGATACGCGGCGTTGATCCCGCTGTTGATCAACCCCGCAAACAGCGCGCCCACGATAAACGCAACCATCTCGACCGTGCTGTCCCCGTTCTCCATGAGATACTGCAGCGCATCGCTCCCGGGCACCCCGCGATCGTTCCGCTCCTTGATGATCTTTTCCAGAATCATGTACATCTGCGCACCGCTATACACCCGCCTCAGGTGCCCCACCGTCGGCATCCAGGGGAACATGACTTTCGTCGCCGTGCTCGCGCCGTCGATCCCCTCGAATATCCGCAGCACGCGCTGCAAGAGGTCCTCGTCCTCGGCGATCTCGTCGCAGCCGACCATGCGCATCGTGAGCTTGAAGACGAGGCGGTACATATCCTCGAACGGATCGCTGATGCCCTCCGTCTTTGAACTGGCGATGTTCGTGATGGTCGAAGTCTTGCCGATGCGGGCGGCGAGTTCGTCCATCGTGTCGCGCGTGTCCTTGATCAGCAGCGGGAGGCGCGTGTCGAGGAGCTCTTTGCGGAGGAGCTTGACGAGGTTGCGGTTGAATTTGGCGCCGAAGCTGTCTTCTTCGGCCTGCGTACCGTTTTTAGCAACGTCGATGCGCGGGGTCGCGTTGAAGAGGGCGCCGTATCTGGTGATGAAACGGTGTTAGTTGAATCCCAATAACCCCCAAATCCATCGCATCGCCAACGCCAACCACATCCCAGTCCCACTCCTCCCCAGCGCCCACGACACAAAGAGACAAAAATGTGAACTCACCCCTTTGTAAAATCCAAATCGCGACTCTCAAAAAACACATGCCGCCCGGCGTCCCCAGACAACCCCACAATCCTCATTTTCCCGAAATAAAAACTCCAGTTCCCGAACCGCCCGGACCGCGCCCCTTCGGCCAGGAAATTCCCCCGGTCCGTGAAGAAGCGCGGCGTGCCGAGGACGGGCCACCCGCGCACCACCTTGGGCGCATTGCGCGGGAACGAAGGGCGGTAGGCGAGGAAGCCGACGGCGTAGGCGAGCCCCGTGAGGAGGAGGACCCAGATGGACGTCGGCCAGCGTTGGGGGTGGAGGAGGGTTTGGGTTGCTGCTGTTGCGAGGGACATTGCGGCGACGGGGGGGACGTTTCCCTTTTTCCCCAGTTGATGGATCCTATTTGGTATTCTTTGCCTGGTTCTTGGTCTCGTGGAGGGGAGTTGACCCTTTTCTTTGAAGATCGTCCTTCTTATCTGGCAATGTTTCCTTTTCCAAAAGGGAGCCCGACGAGCTCACGAGCAAGATGAGATGAAAGCTCCGAGAGAACAACTTCAACAAAAGAGAGTTGCAGAGGGGGGGAGAACAGAGAAAGTAAGAAAAAAAAAAAAAGGTAGGAACGATATCAGTCTGCGTAATAAGAGAGCAGATGGAAGTTGGGTGTGGCTCCAGCTGAGACGAGTCCGTTCGAAACGCTCGGGTAAAGAGGAGCGAGGGGAAGGAAGATGGGACTAACAAACCAAATGACCACCACAATTAAAGTATCGACTAGCTGATACCTATATCCTTGTCATTGAAAACTCACAAGACATCAGCACCTTTTCCCTAGTACGGATACTGACTTGGGGGGGCCCGCGCTAAGGTAAAGCCAGAGCAAGCGTGGCAAAGCTGCCGGAGGAACTTTGGAACTTTGGGAACCTTTGTTCCTCTTTCTTTCCTTGCCGTCACTTGGAACCCCCTCATCTCAGTCTCAAGCAAAATAATCGGGTAGATCCCTACTACGTCGACGCACCAACCTAGAATGGGGTACACGCGCAAGCTTCTTGGATTCCCGCCTGGCCGCACCAGGTCCCTAGATTCCCTGAGGAATCCCTGAGAAGCCAGAGAGTTTCTCCAAGAAAGATGTCGTGCGGCGTGGCAAAAAAAAAAGCCAAACCATTTCGTCAAGGGTAAGAGCTCCGGCGGCGGGAGAATAGAACGAAACCCGCGCCCCCGCCCTCTTCCTCCTCTTGACGGGTTCTTCTGGCTGGCTGGTGGGGTGTACGTGATGGTAAATGATGCTCTCGAGGACTTGGGGATCCATAGAAATGCTCACGAATACGGAGCTCTCAATTGGGTAAACGTCCCGCCCCAAGGGTTCACAGGTCCGCGATCTGCTTTCCCCCTCCCTCGACGACCTACATTGCACTTGCAGGGCCCCTAGCTCGAGTAGCTGCATTCCCTTGCCATTCAACAGTGTAAGTGAATAGACACCTAGCTGCAGAAGCATGCAGAGCAAGCAGCGGGGAGGCATATACCTCTTCGCCTCGGCGGTTGACTCTTGACTCTTTGAGTGCTGTACCAACCCAAAGGCTGGGAAATACCAAGACATCTCTCAAAAAGACACCCCCGCCAGATCAGCCGCTAGTGGCAGACGGCGCACGGCAGATGCCTTAGCCGAAGGCGAAACTTTCCAAACGTCGAGAGGGGCAGGCAGGGGGACCGGGGTTGTCTCTGGAGTTGGTGCTGCAGACGTGCATATCCGTTGCCGTTTGGAGATGCGCCATCCCTGGGCCCAGCTAGAGCTTTTCCCTGCGTATTCGCACTTTGTAAACGAGTTTGGCGAGGCGAGGCGAGGCGGGGCGCGTATACCGTACCTACGGATACATCCTTCACGAGTCGGTTCACCGCCCTTGACATAGGGTACCTAGAAGCATTGTTGATGCATCGGTTGGAAATACTCGGACATGGAGCTTCTTGGGATCAGGCTTTCCACTCTATCATCTGATCTACGGAAGACTCTTCACTCGTACGGATACACGGGTCAATGGACAAGTTGACCAAACAACAATTCAATAAAACGAACGCCTCGCTCGTAGACCACGGTTGTCTCGCACAACTCATCTCTGGGGGGGCTTCATTCTCCGCGTTCTGGAAACTTTGGAATTCCCTTTCCTTAGTTCCTTACATCCCACCCGTCCCTACCGGTACTATAGAAAAAGAGACTTTACACCTGCGCCGGGATTTGAACCAACAACCCAAACGGTTTCCCTCTCATATCTTCTTCATCTCCTCTCCTGAAATAGACTTCAACTTGCATTTACCCAGACAGCCGCAATACCACCCGTTCATACAAAGTCACCAACCCACCAACCCATCAAACCAATGAACCATCTCTTCTCGTTCATCTACTGCGTCGGTATGCTCCCGCGCGTCGCGTGGCTAAAGTTCCCGATTGGCAGAACCACAATCATTCATCACCAGTCACCAGTCACTAGTTTCCTTGAGCCTTACTGCCAGTCTCCAAGTTAATCTTGCTCAGAGTAGTGGCTCGTCATCAAATGCGAGATACCAAAGTCATCATCATCATCATAGACTTGTGCCCGAGGAGAGAGAAAAAAAAAGAGACCAAGTCAAGGATTCAAGCTCTTGAAATCGTATACTTCTAATAAACCTAATGGAAAAGGGGTATCGTCTAACAATGCATGCTATGCCACCATTCGGATCCTCACAAGACCCTCAACAATCCGGTCCAATGTCTCCCGTCAAACCTATGATCTAACAAAGTCGAGGAGCAGCACGTTTCCTCTCCATCACGAGACCAACACCAACATCCACAACATCGCGTCCAACAAGAACCATGCGACCCAAGAACCGTCAGCTCACTAAACAGCCTCCCAATCCATAGCCTCAACCATGAAATCAAACTCATCCTCCTCCATCTCCACAACCCCTCCACCTACGCCACCACCGCCAGCACCACCACCACCACCGGCCCCCATCTCCGCCTGCACCCACTGCTCCGCAACCGCATACCCAGCATCGAACCCAGCAAAGATGTACCTAAAAATCCTGTCCAGGTCATAGCTCTCCAACGGCGCCGTCCCAGCCCTCTCCCTCGCCGCCATGCTGCTCCTCGCACCCCTCACAGCACCTCTCCCCGCATTCCCGTTCCCGTTGCCGCTGTCGTCCGGGTCGGCCGGGTCCTCGGCATACTTCCACCGATTCCGCAGCTCCTTGGCCCTCAACAGCTGAAACACAACCTCTCCGCTCCCCAACGCCTCGTGGAGCGGATTATCCTCCTTCTCCAGCGCAGCAATCACGTTCTGATGATACGTATGCGTCGCCTGTTGCGTCCCGCTCCCCTGCCTCATCGTCGTCGTCGTCGTTGTAGTAACCCACCCGTCCCGCGAAATGGTAATCCCAAACACCCCCATCAAATGCACCAACGCCCGCTCCAGCAACATGTAGTACTCGTAAAAGTCGAGCTTGAACATGAGCTCCGCCTCCTCGGCGTCCGTCTCGCCCCCGTACAGCTGGGATCCAGGCCGTGCTATGGCGTGGTGGTATCCGTGGCTCAGGTACGGCAGCTTCCACTTCAGTCTACGGACGATTTGGATGTACCGCTTGAACTCCTGCTGCGCCGAGGGCCCTCCGCTCGGTCGAGGTGTGTGAGAGGGGGTTGTATTTGTGTTTGTGTCCCCGTTGCCGTTGCCGTTGCCGTTGGGCGTAGCTGTCCCAGGCGTAGGAGCAGTCGTGGCGGGTCGGTAGGCGCCGCTCTTGATCGGGGAAGGCGGTCTCGGTGCGGCGGGCGTGATGACAGAGGAATGGTACTGGTTTGACTGGTATTTGTACGAGGGTTGGGCTTTGCCTCGGGCGGCCCAGATGGAGTCGCCCAGGCCCTTCTTGGTTTTCGAGATGCCGTTCATTTCGAATCTGGAGGTATCGGCCGGCTGGGCGTGGACAGAAGCGTTCCGTTTCGTTGCTTCTCTCTCTGTCTCTCGTCTTCGGGATCGCTTGCAGTCGCTTATGTTGTGGACGGGCTTTCTTCACAGATAGTCGATAGTCGATCTTGCGTATGAACAGACAACGTAGGCAATTGTGTTCGAATCCCAAGAAATCGGACGATGGCTCACGACGAAAGCTGGATCTTTGGATGGCTGGCAGGTTACTTTGGTGGCTTTGGACGGATGAAGACAAATAATAGATTGTAGAGACTGATGGTTGGAAAGAATGTCTGCGAGAAACAACATTGCCTGCAACAGGCGACAAAGTAATCGAACAATGGACAACGGGCGTCGGCAGCCCCTTTCGTGTCTCACGTCGTTGTTGGTTCGGCCGGCGTCTATCGACCTTTGGAAAAGGGAATGGAAGCCGGGAAGTTATCGGGTCAGCCTTTGGGGTAATGGATGGTGGGGTTGGAGCATGAGGGTGGGCACAGGCAGTGGTAGTTCCAGGCAGGTGCAGCGGGGAGACGCGCCTGACGCGTGCCAAGGGAAGCTCCCAATCCCTGGAAGGAGGGGGAACCCTCAGGTCATGATGCCTTACCTCAGCGCCCAAGTTCCCTACGACTGACAATTAATTAGGTTCCATCACAATCCATCCAGGATGCCATCTCCAATTTCCTCACATCATCAATCTCATACTCCGACTTGAGTGTGTACAAAGTGCCCTCAGGCTTGTATTGTATGTCGAAATCGTACTCGCACGTATTTCTAGGATATACAGCTTCAACAATGCCCCGTCAACCACGCAATAAATCCTCCAACGCCGGGCCCGGTTACCGTGACTCTGATCCAAGAACGCCTTCATCAGCCATCCGGCCGGTCTACTACGCCTTCTTCGTAGCCTTGGCTGTGCCAATATGGGTATTATGAACCTGCTTCGCATTAGCATCGGGTTTGTTACACTAGATCCTTGATGAGAACTCACTTTGGTAGCAAAACGCAAACTCGTCACCGTCTCCTTCAGATGCGCCTCCAACGGGCTGACCATCACAAACATGAGCGTCTTGCTGTTACCCCCAAGAGAGTACTGAAGCAAATGCGTCAACTTGGAGTTGCGATATGGAATGTGCCCGCTCTTCTTGCCGAGCGCCTCAATCACATCGCCGAGACACGACAGAGACTTGTTGATGTTCTGTGTCTCCCTCATCCTGGCGCCCTCGGCCTGCGAGTGTTTGAGCCGCTCAGAGCCCGCGAGGTCCACCAGGTTCAGTGTACCCTCGCACCGCTCTCCCGTTGCCGAATTGTAGCCAGACAGCTTGAGGATGAAGACGCTGTGCGAACGCGACGACCGCTCGTTGGCCTTGGTAGCCGCCACCGATCGGTTGTTCTGCGCCTCAGCGAGCATCACCTCCACCGTATCGGCCGAATCAAGTGACACGGTCTTGCAGTTGAGCACTGCCGTCTGCTTGCGAGCATCGTCGTGCCGGATCTCGAGTTTGCGCACCTTGCCGTCTGATTCGCGGCTGTTGGGCGTCAACAAGTCGTTGAGCTCCTCATTGTACACCTCAATAAAGGAGCCCTCCATCTTGTAGGTCCACTGCTTCTCCTTCAACTTGGTAACCGTGTCGTAAATCATGTGAGTCGCGCGAGGAATCATGCCGTCTGCAGAAGACATGGTGTGTGTCTTGCCAGACCCCGTCTGGCCGTAGCAAAAGATGCACACGTTGTAGCCGTCGAGTGCGCTTTGCACGAGCTGTGAAATCTCGTCAAAAACATCTTGATTCTGGGCTGATGGGTCAAACACCCTGTCAAATTCAAAGTTGATGTTCTTGTTCGAGACATCGCCAAAGCTGTTGACTTCCTGCGTCTGCAATGCGATCTCGGCGGATGTCTTCTCGTCGGGAAAGGTGACCTTGGCCGGCGCACCCTCTGACGAACTCAGTACAGGACGGACTCTGCACATGACACGAATATTGCCCTTGAGCTCTTGGTACTTGTTGAAGAGGACGCGGCGTTCCGTCTCCTCCTTGATGAGCTTCTCCTCGGCCACTTGGGCCGCCTTGAGCGCTTCTTGCAGTCTGGCTTCCATGTTGGAGAAGGAGTCCGATTGAGCCTTACTGTCTGACTCGAGAAACTCGACATGAGACTTGAGCGAGTTGATCTTGGCCTCGAGGGTGACGTTGGAGGCAGAGAGTTCCGAAATGCTGGCCTCAAGACCCTTCTTGAGACTTTGCTCGCGGTCCAAATCTCCCTTGAGTGTCTCTACCACGCCTCTCATTTCCGATACCTCTCTGTCCTTCTTCTGAAGGATGGCGTTGAGATCTTGCTGCTCATGACCAAGCCGTGTTCGTAAATCTTGCACCTCCCTCGACTTCTGGCGACGCTCTTCCTCAATTTCGGCCTTGAAATGTCGCTCAAGAGCATCCAAAGCCTCGCGGTGACTCGCCTCCGCTCGCTGCGTCTCATCCTTGAGCTCGCGCCGAAGTTCGTCGAGCTCATGACGATGTTTGCGAGCCTCGTCCTCGAGCTCATACTTGTGACTGCGTTTTTCCGTCTCCGACTCAATTGTCAGTTTTTGCATCTGGTCGCGCATGTTGTTGATTTCATTTTGGAAATTCCCATTGCGGTCTTCGAGTTTGTCTCGTTCCGCCTCGAGTTCAGATACTGCCAGCCGATTAGTTCAGTCCGCGCTAAGGTAGCTAGCTCATCGTCCGAACTACTACTACTCACTTCTCTTCTTGTACATCTCCACTCGCTCGTCCATCAACTCCTTGTCAGAGAGCATGACAGTCATTGACTCCTTCACCTGTTTAAACTGCGAGTCAAGCTCGGCAACCCTGCCCTCGACATCCCAGCCTACGAATTGAGTCAAGTTAGAATCTTTTGTGAGAAAGTGAAGTCTAGAAGGAGAAGGGGATCTAGCTGGGGATCTCGAGTCCTTGATGGCTATGATTGTTTCTTCGAGTCTTTCCATCATGGCCCTCGATCGCTTAGAATCTGGCGAAGGCGTGACAGGATCGGTCATGCGACTGGCCTGCCTCTTCTTGGGCGACAGATCTGGCGGTTTCATGAGGGCCCTGCGTGATGACGCGCGCATGGTGACATTGTCCACTTGCGCGATACTCGCCATAGTCGAGATGGAACTGACGCTGGTGTCTCCTCCATGTTGGCTGAAAACCACTTGATCTTCATCTTGTGCTGAGCTTGTCGTACTGGCGTCGTCCTTGATGGATAGTGCGCCAAACCGACTGCTAAGAGAAACTTCTCTGTGCGAATGCATTTGTGACGTGTGACTGGCATGTCTAGCCTTGCTAGGCTGAAATTCAAGGGGTCGCAGAAAGTTCAGTCGCTGGGAATGCAGAGCCGTACCATGCTGTTGTTCTATTGGTCCATCAAACTCTTCCTCTGATCGATGACCGTATGCCGTGCGCGGTCTCGTATGCGGATTGGCGTTTCGGGTCCGGGGCTGTCCGTGTACCGACTTTGAGTGAGCAAGGGAGGATTTTGCACGTTCATGGCCTCGGGGGCCGACGCTCGCGCTCGCGGAGAAGCTGCTGCTCTGATTGTATCGTGATGTCGTCGTTCCATTTCGAGGTCTGATATTATCTGGGTTTTTGAGCTGCTACGAGTCAGCAAGCAAACTACATGTGGTTGTAGTGAGCGAGCATTGGGCGGTACACAACGCAGCTCATCCCTGTCGTCCGTTTCGTCGTCGCATTCCATGGCCCGGTAGCATTCGGGGGTTTGGACCTCGGCGTCTAGTAGGAGTCGAATGCCGCTACGTGTGGTGTCACCGTCGCTTTGTGATCCCAGCCACAATTGGAGTCTCCCGGAGATGCTGCGCATATACGTTGGCGTAGGTACTGAAGAACCGTTTCGAGGACGAGAGCGTGGTCGACTGAGGGTATTCTGATCCCAGGGAAATGGAAAGGACGCAAGCAGCTTTTGCCAGAGGAACAGTCGAGGAATGGACTGGAAGACAGCCCGCCAGATATGCCGTATAGAGTGGAACAGGTGCACCGCTATCCAAAGGATCATCCGAAGACCGTCAAGCCGGAGAACGATGCTGGAGGTCGTAGTCGACTCGGGGGCCATGTCCAAGGAGATGATGCTTCGACGTCGGTGATTCGGGATGAGGATGCGAGGTGGAGGGATTCACGGACACAACGCAAGACAACGAAACTGGAGGGGGGGGGGGGGCCTACCTCTGCCAATGTCGACCCGGGCACCCGCCTGACAGAAGGGGCCCTGGCGATACCAGAAGCACCCGCGCCTGCCGCCGCCGAGGATGGCTTCGCCGGGTATTCGCCTGCCCTCTCGGCGAGGGTCTTGTGGTGCTTGGTAGCCGAATGCTCAGCTGTAGAAGGCACGGTCAGCAGCCGCAACCAGTCATGCCAGCGCAAGCCGGGAGGGTAGTAAGACCAACCTGGCTTGGGGACCTCCCTCTTCAGGTTCATGGCGCTGTTGAGGGAGCCAATCTTGGATGCGCCCGGCGGCGGTATCATGGACGGGTGCGCGCGCGCGTTGCTTTGCGCTTCGTTCATTTCGGAGAGGCCAGAGGCGAAGGCGCCTGGTCGTGGGAGGTTGCTGTGAGGGCGCATGACGGAGGATCGGAAGTGGTGCTGCTGCGAAGGGAGATGTTTGTTAGCTGCGTATGGTTCGTCGTGGCTTTGCTATATGTTGCTTCCACTTTGCGACATTCCCAAAGCTTTCCTGTCCCGCATGTGAAAGAGAAACATACCGTATTCTCCGCAGTGTCCATGTTGAGGATGCTGTCTACGCGACGAGCGACAACGGGTATGATGATGTGGGACACGAGGAGCAGCGCTCCAGTTCTGGACGCGGTAGGAGAAGACGTTGTGAAGTTGGAGCAGGCATGCGGCAAGGAGCAGCAACGGCGGGAATGGCTCAAAAGAAGAGAGAGCCCACAGCTATGATTGCAGTATGGGGAGGGGTGTGGGTTGTCAATCGTGACTGGTGGAGAGGTGCATCACCAGGGTCTGAGTGTTTACTGTGAATTGTGTACACAGTGGAGGCGCTGCCACAATCGCACACAACTGCAGCGGCCGGGGGGTGGGGATGGCTGCCCGGGGCAACGGGATTTGTGCAACGCTGACATAAGACAGACAAGAGACGCTGACATAAGGCACAGTGCCTTAGGTAATCATCCTCGCTGCATCTGGACTGTCACTGTCCGCCTTCCTGCCTGAGGCAAAGAAACCATACATATCTTCCGAGGTCTTGCCGGGAAACTACTTACCTCAGCAGAAACAGATGCAGCTGTCCTGATATGGTAAGCGGTCGCGCTGCAGCTCCTCTTCTTATCACTGCGTGCCACTGCATCCCCGTCCCGCAGCCACCTCTGGCGCAACGCAACGTGGTGGTTCCTTTTTTTTTTTTTTTTCTTTTTTTTTTTTTACCTACTCTTTAGATTTCACATGTCACTGCTGGCCGTCCGCCGCACCATGACGTTGGGAAGCTCATTCGCCAGCTCACGTCGCATCTGAGATTTTCGTTGTCTCGTTGTTCCTTCCCAACGGACCAGGAATTCGGTGCTGGGGGAAGAACCACAGCGACCACGAAAGTTGCGTGACACGAGAGCAGTAGCAGCAATTGCCGAGTCTCACTCCATTTTCTGTTTCTCCAGCCTTGCCCCTCCTTCTCTGGTCTGTCTGTTCTTCTCAACGTCCTTGCGTCGATCCGCCCTTGGTACGCCAAGTTCTCGACTAAACAAAAACACCACGACCGTTGCGATCCGGAGCCTCATGTCGCGGTGATTCGCCCGCCTCTGCCTTACTTCTCCGCCGTCCCCGTCAGCTTGGACTTATACGACCATTCCATCTCACTGTCACACCTCCCACACCACCTCGCCCACAATGGAGAAGTTTAGCCAGTTCCGCGACAAAGGTAAAGACAAACCAACCCAACCCACCCATCACGATACCCTCAAGACGCCAAACTAACACCCAACAGGATCGGGCATCTCGCCCTTCATCCCCGTCAAAACAGCCCTCTCCCCCCTCTCCTCAATCTTCCACACCTTCCTCTTCTTCATCCGCCTCCCCCTCTTCCTAACCTACGCAGCAACCTACTTCCTCTTCCTCCAACACCTATGCCCCTTCCTCCCCGTCGCCGTCCGCAAAGTCCTCCTCTGGGGCATGATGGGCATCCCCGGCATCTGGTGGGTCGACCTCCAGCTCGACGGCGTCCGCCGCGGCACCCTCGCCGACCAACCCCCGCAGCGCTTCCCCCACCCGGGCTCCGTCATCGCCGCAAACTTCACATCCCCCATCGACGCCGTCTACCTCGCCGCAATCTTTGACCCCATCTTTACCATATCCTACCCAAACACCAGATCCGTCGAGCAAATCTCCCTCCTCCGCGCCGTCTTCTACGCCCTCGCCCCCGTCCGCTTCGCCCCTCCGCCTTCCTCGTCTCGAAAACTCACTGACCTCGCCGCCCTCGTCGCCCGCTACCCGGACCGCGTCGTCGCCGTCTTCCCCGAAGGAGGCACCACAAACGGCAAAGGCGTCCTCCCCTTCACACCCTCCCTCCTGGCCGTCAGCCCCGAAGTCCGCATCTTCCCCGTCAGCATCCGCTACACCCCCGCCGACGTAACGACCCCGATCCCGGGCCGCTGGGCCAAATTCCTCTGGGACCTGCTCTCCCGCCCGACCACCTGCATCCGCGTCCGCGTCGCCGAGAGTATCCTCAACTCCTCCGCCGCCCAGACCAACGGCGTATCGTCTTCGGTGGCCGGCGATACCGCGCAACGAAGAATCGGGGCTGGGGGCGGCGATGCGCCGGCGCTCTCGATCGAGGAACAACGCGTGCTGGATAAAGTTGGGGAGGCGCTGGCCAGGCTGTGTCGGAATAAGCGCGTCGGGTTGACGTTGCGTGATAAATCTGCCTTTATCGAGGCGTGGAACGGACGGAAGTGAGCAGCAACCCAACCCGGAGCCTCTCACTATCAACCCCCCAACAAAAGCGGAGGAGGGGGAAAGGGAACGGTAGTTTGGCAAGCTTGGCGGTCCGTCGTGCTTTTACGTTTGTTGTTCTTTATGCCGCGAGGTATGATGTGTTATTGCATAGCTAGGAGCTTCGGAGGCGCTTGTCGTGCCAATGCTTTTCCCGGAATCGTTTGGAAAGGTGAAGAGAAGCAAGGGAAGAACGAACAAAAAGCAGTATGGGCGAGCTTCCGTTAAAGAAAGCCGTTGTGTAAACGTAATCCAGGTGTGGACGTTTTGTAGTGTGTTTTCTGGAAACTACGCAGTATACCACGAGTATTGACATTCACATTCAACAATCTTTTGCCTCCTTCTTTTTCATATCAACACGTGTTTGTCAAATCTATTGGTACGAAACCACCTCTTCATACGATTTGGTGAACCACGTAAACAAAACTCCGATTTTGGGGACTACCTTTTCCGAAGCCGTACAAGAAGATGGTATAACAGTGTAGAAAGAAACCTCTAGTAGAAAGAAAAAAAATTGAGGAAACAAACCCCGCCGCTCCCTTTTTTGAATTCCGCCAAAAAGAAAATTGACCAAATTAAGGGGGACCCCGACTCCCCTTCTCTCCCTCTCTCCTTTTCCTCGCTGCTCTCTATCCCACAGACAAAAGGCCTTAGATCTTGCCGTCCGTGACACATCCAGAGCTGGCATCGCTCACAAGAGCAGAGTACTTCTTGAGCGTACCCTTGGTATACTTGGGCGGCGGCGCCGTCCACTTGGCCTTCCGCTCCGCCATCACAGCGTCCGACACGTTGGTATCGATCACCCTCTTCTCCGCGTCAATCGTAATCTCGTCGCCGTCCTGCACCAACCCAATCGGTCCGCCCTCCATCGCCTCCGGCACAATATGTCCAATCAGGAACCCGTGGGAGCCGCCAGAGAACCGTCCGTCCGTCAACAGCGCCACATCCTTACCCAGACCGGCGCCCATGATGGCGGAACTGGGCTTCAGCATCTCCGGCATACCGGGGCCGCCCTTGGGGCCTTCGTAGCGGATGATGACGACCGTCTTCTCGCCCTGCTTGATCTCGCCTCGTTCCAGTGCGGCGATGAAGCCGTCCTCCTCGTCAAAGACGCGCGCCTTACCCGTGAAGACGAGGCCCTCCTTGCCGGTGATCTTACCCACGGAGCCACCCGGCGCGAGCTGGCCGCGCAGGATCTGGATGTGGCCCGTCGGCTTGATGGGGTTGCTAAAGGGGCGGATGATGGGCTGGTCCTCGGGGAAGTCGGGCGTGCTGGCGACGTTCTCCTTCATCGTCTTACCGGTGACGGTGATGCCGGAGCCGTCGATGAGACCCTCCTTCAAAAGGAACTTGAGCAGGCCGGGGGTGCCGCCGATGCGGTGCATGTCGGCCATGACGTACTTTCCAGAGGGCTTCAGGTCAGCCAGGAAGGGCGTGCGGTCCGAGACGGCCTGGAAGTCGTCGACGGTCAGCTTGATGCCGACGGAGTCGGCGATGGCGAGCAGGTGAAGGACGGCGTTGGTGCTGCCTCCGAGGATGTTGACGACGACCATGGCGTTCTCAAAGGCCTGGCGGGTCATGATGTCGCGCGGGCGGATGTCCTCCTTCAGGAGGTTCTTGATGGCGGAGCCAATGTTTTCGCACTCTGCCTTCTTGGCGGGATCCTCGGCGGGGCTGCTGGAGCTGTGCGGCATCGTCAGGCCGAGCGTCTCGATGGCGGTGGCCATTGTGTTGGCTGTGTACATGCCGCCGCAGGCGCCGGAGCCGGGGCACGCGTTGCGGATGATGTCGAAGCGTTCTTCCTCTGTGATCTCGCCGGTGATGTACTGGCCGTAGGCCTGGAAAGCCGAAACGATGTCAATGGACTCGCCGCTCTTGCTGCAGCCGGGCTTGATGGTGCCGCCGTAGACCATGATACTGGGGCGGTTGACACGGCCCATGGCGATGGCGACGCCGGGCATGTTCTTGTCGCAGCCGGGCAGGGAGATGTTTCCGTCGTACCACTGGCCGTTCATGACGGTCTCGATGGAGTCGGCGATGATCTCGCGGGACTGGAGGGAGTAGCGCATGCCCTTTGTGCCCATGGAGATGCCGTCCGAGACACCAATGGTGTTGAACTGGTAGGGGATGAGGCCGGCGTCCTTGACGGACTTGCGGACGAGGTTGGAGAGGTCGAGCAGGTGCATGTTGCAAGGGTTGCCCTCGTACCAGACGGACGAGATGCCGACCTGGGCCTTGTTCATGTCGTCCTCGGAGAGGCCGGTGGCGTACAGCATGGCCTGGGAGGCGCCCTGGGATTTGGGCTGGGTGATGTTGGCCGAGACCTTGTTCAGCTTCTCGTCGGCGCGTCGGGGCGCAGTGGAGGAGAGGAGACGTCTGTAGAGGAATTGAGGTTTAGCTAATTGCCATTGATGGTCCATGGGGGCTCAATTGGGGGTTTCTTACGCATGGTTGGCAAAGGTAGGACGCCTCGTCGCAGCTCTAAGAGCTTGTGACTGACGGGCGATGGACCGGGAGAGCATTTCGTCGAGGGTATCACCGGGAAGCCCCAGGAGACGACACAGCGGAAGGGGGAGGAAAAGGGAAGGTGAGGTGTGTAAGAAGAGTGTTGTTGAATAGTTCAATTGAGTTCCCAATTGACCTCCTTTTTCGAATCCGTTTTCTCGATTCTTTTCCCCTTTTATATTGATGCCAGGTGAGTCACGAAGAACAGGAAAAAAGAGGTGCGGTGGAAGAAAGACCCGAGATCACAGGGACAGTCACAGGGACACGGCGAGCAAGAGACGTTGCGAGCGATGGTTTTTTTGGAGCAGCCGCTAGCAGCAGAGCGCCAGAGCCACAGGGGGGGGAAACAATTTAGGGCGATGTCGGCTCCTAAAAATTCTGGAGCTCCCCGCCGAGTGCTCCCCGCATTGAAATACCTTGTCGCTCATTGGCTGTAGCTGTGGTTCCGACTCTCCGTTCCCCCCCAGGTTTGGTGCCATTTGGCTGCGTTTTGCTGCGTAGCTTCGAGGTGAGCCACCGGCGTCGGGTGCAAGGTCAGCAAGGTCAGCCACGGTGTGCGACTGTAACCACACCACCACCAAAAGGTCGAGTGTAGCACATATTGGTGCATGGCATCTTCAATTGAGCTTTCGTAGAGTCTCTTCTCTATTTTCTGCTAATAAAGATATTCCAAGCTCTGAGAAGCAACAAGGTGTTGTGACATTGTTTCCAGCTTTACCTCATCAGATTACCTCACACTTATTTCCGATAAGCCCGGAATGCTTCCGGTCCCGGAAGAGCCCCGTTTTTCTACACCGATCCCGCCGGAAGTGGGTCGCGGCTACCCGGCAACGCGTGTGCTGCCTCCATATTCCTCTCCTACAATCGCAGCTCAGCTCCGTTACCTTAGTACCTTAGCTTCACTACGGAGACCGAGTAGCAATGGTGTTACAAATCAACACTCCTGGATATCAATTGACCACAATCGTCATAGACTCAGGGCTTCGTCTTATGCTCCTCGGTCGAATCCTTCTCCTTGAGGTCCTTCTCCTCCCTCCGCGTCAAAATCTCGTCAATCACGCCCATGCTCTTGGCCTCCTCCGCCGACAGGTAGTTATCACGCTCCATCAAGTCGTGGATCTCCTCCAAGCTGTACTTGTCGTGCCCAAACGACTTGTTGATGTGGCGCTTCATGATCTCGTTGATCTGCTTGCGGATGCGCTGGATCTGGTTCGCGTAGATGAGAATGTCCGACGCCTGGCCCTGCGTCCCGCCCAGCGGCTGGTGGATCATGACGGAGCTGTGCGGCAGCGCGTACCTCTTGCCGGCCTCGCCTCCCGTCAGGAGCAGCGCTGCCATGGAGGAGGCGGCGCCGAGGCAGACTGTTGATACTGGTGACTTGATGTATGTCATTGTGTCGTAGATGGCCAGCCCTTTCATGTATTTCGTCAGTGATTTATTTTCCATATTGCGCCATCCGTCTGCGAATGGAGTTGTCTGTCGAACCTGATGATACGGAGCCTCCTGGAGAGTTGATGTACATCGTAATCGCCTTGTCGGGGCTATCGGACTCGAGCCACAAGAGCTGTGCCACTATCGATGCGGAAACGGTATCGTCGATCGCGCCATTAAGGCAGACAATGCGCTCCTATATGTGCGTCAGCTTGATGCGCGCGACAACCTTTTTAAGTGTCTATGGGATCGTACTTGGAGCAGCTTGGAAAAGATGTCGTCTATCTGCGTGGTCAGCGAGGAGGGAAACGCCAAATTGCAGAAGCGGTCGCGGTGTACTAACATGTTCTCCAACCATTGGACTAATCAATTAGCTTTTCGCGACCTAGGTATATTCAAGTGGTCATGGGTGGACGAACCGAAACCTCGGTGATGTAGGGTAGAGGGATGTTTCCGACGGGTGGGCTGCTGCTACCGCCTCCTGCGAAGGGAGGGAAGCCTGGCACTGGGAAGTTTGAAAAGGCCCTGATGTGCTGCCGCCGCGGGACGGCTCTCAGGGCTCGGAATAACGTCCTTTGACAGTTCATGGCTGCGGGTCGCGTAGAAAAGTCGCGTGTGTGGTGTTGCAGTGTCAAGTCAAAGTAGAGAAGAATGCGAAAAAGCGGCAATCGACGGCAACAAGCGCTGGTGGGAGAGGTGTGACGTCCTTTGGGAAAGCTCTTTGGCGCTGCAACCCCCGAAATGCCCCCCCTGTGCGCTCCCCCCGAGCTCCGAGCTTCCCCCCACGCGTCCTCGTCTAAAAATTGCCCCGAGGCGCGTAAAGCTCTTTTTTGTCCGCGCCGTGTTCCAGAGCTGGGCCGCCACTCTGGGGAATCCCCTCCGAATCTTGAAATTTCCCAGCCGTTATTCGACGTGCTCTCCAATCGCATACCTATTGTGTTCCAGTAGAAACTCCCTCTTTTTCGAGACCGATCGAGCAATCGACTATACTGGCGACACTTTGCACGTATTGCTTCCTCCTTCGGGGGGCTCCCCCCTCGACCGCGATGAAGCCATTCCCAGGCATTCGCCGAGTGCCCAGAACGTCAGCTAGGAGCTATGGCACAATCTCCGATGCCAGAGGAGCGGGGCCCGAATTCCTCTCAAAGAAGTCAATAAGGGAGAAAGAGGCCAAGGCAGCGAAAAGGGCGCCGCCACTATCGAGAAAAGAGGCAAAAGCACAAGAGATACAAGATGCGCCAAAGCGCAAGGCAGAGGAAAGGCAGGCGCAATTCACCAGGAGGATTCAGGAGGTCTTGGGCCACGACGGAATCGCAAAAGATGTACGAATCGACAAGGAGAACAAGAAGGTCAGGACGTCGGCGGGCGACCTGCCCATCTCGCCCGTCATGGACCCGGGGTGGATGGATGTGCGTACGAGGTACCGGATGCCGAAGCCCAGACCGAAATCCAAGAGGCCACCTTCATTATCTTCGTCAGGGGAGGCACCGGCAAAACACAAGTACAAGATTAGAATGGGCTGGGACGAGAGGACGCAGAGCAAATCAAAGTTCATTGTCAAGAATAAGTTGCCCAACGGGGGCAGGTTCCGCGTCAAATTGGAACAGAACCCGTACGGTCAGTAGCGGGACACTCCCCGCCCATTTGTACGAGGATACTGGGGAGCACAATGCTGATATGACGGACCTCTTGCAGTACATGCTCTCGCCTCGCCTATCCGATTCTGCCCCGTCACGGGGACGTCTCTGCCGAAATACTTTCTTCAAAACTTCAAGGCCGTTACGAACCCGGACACCAAGGGGCACTGGTTCATACCGGGCGACGTTGAAGTATCGTGGACACATAAAGAGGCCATGGAAGAGGAGCTCAGACAGCTTGATAATCTGGGGAATAGGTCAGAAGAGCTTGATGATGTGGAAAACGCGCCTATGAAACCGGAGGGAGATGGATCTAAAGAGCTCGACGGTGTCAAGGACGAACCCGGGAAACCTTTCAAAGAGGAGGGCGAGCTCGAGAAGTCTGACGGTGCGGAGGACGAGTTCAACAAAAGTGTCAAAGAGACGACCGGGTCCACGAAACCCGAAGAAAAAATAGTCGAACCCAAAAAGCAAAACGAAAATAAGCCTCACAATCACAATTCCGACACAGCAGCAGACGACTTTGAGAAGCATTTCGAAAACGTACTCGGATCCGAGAAGAACGGCAAAAAGGAGAAGAGCCACCGTGTCACAGCCGCATCAAATCGGACGACCCCCCCAAAAGAACTCCCCGAGGACCCCCTCGCAAAACAAAAAGAAACAGACCAGCTCCTCATCAAATCCCCCTCCGCCTACGTCGTCTCCCGGAAACCCATCATCGACTCCATGGCAGGCAAGCGCGGCAAGACGCCCTTTGGCGACGGGTGGAGGATGCTCCTCGGCAGGAACCAAAAAGTCATGAACTCGGATATCCCCAAACGCCTCGTCTGGCGCGAGGACATGGGCGATTTCGTCCTCGAGAACCTGCGCAAGAATATCATGAAGTATATCGACTACTACGTCGAGACGGACGAAGGGCACAGGTTGTCCATCCAGCCTCTCGAGACCTGGGAAGATGTCCACGACGCGGAGAAGCGGAGCTGTCTGCTGTGGTATGACGATGCCAACATCACCGCGGGGGAGAGTCGGTGGGATGAGTGGATGAAGGAGGGGAAAGTGAAGCCGTTTGCGACCTACGACGTCCCGGACGCAAAGTACGAAAAGAGTCTGCCCATCTACGATATCGGACGGCTCATGGGGCCAAAATACCTCGCGAAGCTGCGGGCGATACCCATGTTCCGCGAACACTCGCTCTTCGTCGTCAGGAGGAAGCGGTCGATCCCGCTGCACCTCTACCTGTGGAAGCTGCAGGCGTACATGGCCGAGTATCCCTCTGCAGAAAAGATCGCCGAGCAATCTGCGGAGAAGCGAATGCTCGATAAGAAGAGGAGGGAGGAGGAGCGCCAGGAGGAGCGCCAGGAGGAGCTCGTTCAGGAGCAATACAGGCTGGAAGAAGAAGCGAGGGAGGAATATATACGGGCCAAGGCCGAGCGGGCGAGGATCATCCAGGAGAGAATCGAGCGGGAGATGCGCGGGTTCGATGAGCGCAAGGATATGACGCCAGAGGTTGCGGCAGAGCGCGGAGTCAGATTTGAGGCCGGCAGCACAGCTATATCGAGGGGTACAGCCGCCGCGCCCATGACCTCAGCCGACCTCGCCGCCCAGCTCACGGCGACACCTCGAGCCGCGTCTTCACCCAGTGCTTGGAGCAGCGCCGCCATTAAACCCGTACCTACCATCAAAGGCGACAGGAAGGCTGAAGTCCCTCAGCGGCCCACGCCCAAAACCAGAGCGGAATCTACGGCGAAGCGCTCGGCCAAAGCTCCTACGGCCGCTCCCATGACCGCGGCTGACTTCACTGCCCAGCTCATGGCGACACCTGAAGTCGGTTCCAGATCTGACTCTTGGGCCAGTTCCGCCGTCAAGTCGGTAGCCCCCGCCAAGGCCATCAACAAGGCCGGTTTGACTTCACATCCCTCGACCAAAGTTGATGGTGAATCTACACCTCAGCGTGCCGGTACCACAGCCGAGACTACAGCCAAGGCCGATGTCAAAGGAACATCGGAACCTAAAGCAGGAGCTACGAAGCCAAAGGTGAAGCCAGTCAAGCCACGCTGGTAGACCTGAACAGAGCAATTTTCTGTCCCCATCCAGGCAAAGGGTAAGTTACCTTGGGTAAAGAAGGAAGGAGCGATGGTTATTTCAGCATAGATGTATACTGCAGGAGCGAGGAGAAAGGATGCGTCGTTTCCATGTAAGAAGGTGCGACGAGAGTTGAAGAACTGGAGATGGAGCCATATACCCACGAAGGGAGACGCTTCGATATCGTCTCGAAGGAAAGGCAATACCCCAATCAGCATTATAATCAAACATATTCATCAGTCAGGTGATGACATACCGATATCCGAGTCCTTGAAGCGGGTTCCTTGGAACGAGTGACCTTGAGGACAGTCTGATATCAAGTCAACCTGACATAGAAGCAATCTTAGTAGCTGCTAGGTTCAAATACTACCAGGTTTAGACTCTTTCCCACTCATCCTCATGCCTCCAGCGAAAGCTCACCTTTCATCAGCAAACATTTCCCACCATCACCTTCTCCAAGAAATCCAAAAGCAAAGGGGAGCTGCCTCTCCGGCCCTCCTGCCTCAACATCAATCAATTCGGTCTTGCCTTCCCACTCTGTCTTGTGCCAGATCCTCACGAATGCCTCCTTCCTGCCTTCTTTCCGTCCTCCTTCTCACTGATGCCAACCCCATCTTGGCCCTATAAAAACCTCTCTTCTTCCTCCCACGACTTCAACCTTACATCTCCAACCTTTCCTTCTTCCACAATTTCCATACGTCAACACCTTGAATTCCTTCCAAACTTCATTGCTTCCGATCTTTCTTGATTCTAACCTTCATTACTTTTAGCTTTCATTGCTTCTAGTCTTCGAAGCTTCTGGCCTCCTTCCCATCTGGCCTTCATCACATCCAGCCTTACAGCCATTACCTCTTGCCCTCATTGCCTTCAACCCTTTCTTCTTCTTCAAACTTTCATGACAATCTGCTTCCAACCTTTTTCACAACTTCAAACGCAATCAACATCAAACCTGTTTCCCAAATTCGTTGACTGCTTCCTCTTGCCACAGATTTCTCACTGAAGCTTTCTAGTCCCTCTCCAAATCAGCTTTCTTAGCTGGAGTATTTCACTGCAAGGTCGACAGGCATCTTGCTTGAAAAGCCAGAATGGCTGATGCGTCAATTCTCACTAACATTGGGGACCGAGTTAGGGTGAAGGAGAAGGCTCGTGAGTTCGGTCTTGGTATATTGCAGGAAATACCCAAGATTCTCCGACACATCTCCAACAGCAGTCACAAGCAAGATGTGAGAGACTGGGAAATCAACCTTCGTAAGTCTGTATTTTATCATCTTTTGGGGTTTGCTAACTTTCTCCTTAGTAAATTTGAAGCGTACATCTCTGTCTCGGGAAATTCTTGTCGGCGTCCAAGGCGAAACAGGTCTAGGGAAAAGCTCCCTACTCAATGAGCTTCTCCGAAGCGAAATTGTTCCAACGTCACAGGTGGAGGCGTGCACAGCAGCCGTTTGTATCTACGGATACAACCACGAGGTTGGAGAAAACAAGCCCTACAGGGCCAAGATCACGTTAAGAGCTGGGCGACTGTCGAAGCTGAGCTCACTGGCCTCAAGGAAGAGATTGCTGAATCAGACAATCAACATGAAGCTCAAGATGACGACGATGCAGACCACAGCGAAAGTTGTAGCTACTACAGTAAACGGAACATCGACATGGTTTGCGCTTGGTCTGGTCTGAAGGAGGAAGACATCCGAAATCTATCGCCGATTGAGATCATGCAAAGGGGCAATTTCAATAATATTCGCAATCGAGGACTCCGGCTACCTACCGACGAGAAAACTTGCAGCAGAATCTATTCAGCCCCCAATGCGAACAAGTTCAAGAAAATTCTCAGGCCTTTCGCGGAGAGCATGGACCTGAACTCACACCGAACTCAGTACTGGCCGTTAGTCGAGCAGATCGAGGTATACCTGAAGGCTCCGATTCTCCGTCATGGAATCAAACTCGTTGATCTTCCCGGCACGCAAGATGCTCTGTCATTCCGGGCAGAGATTGCTGAGACGTTCCAAGATCGACTGGCGAAACAGATTGTCGTTTCTCCGGCGTCCCGAGCAGGAGACAACAAGGCAGCCGCAGACCTCATCTTCACGGAGAACGATTTAATGAAGTTCCATTTAGACAACAAGTTCAAAGATGATTCTCTCTGCGTCGCGATCACAAAGATCGACGACATCCAGACTGCGAATGCCGCGGAGGAGTTCCCGACCAGAGAGATCATAGAGCTACAACATCGTCTGAGAGGTGCACCGTCAGAAGAGTCTGAAGATGACGAGTTCAACTCTGAGGCCGAAGACTATACACGAGTGTCTGTGAAGAAGAAGGGCGGCAGCAACAAACGCAGACATGCCTCTGGTGCTTCGAGAGATGGCAAGAGACAGAAAGTTGACTCCTATGAAGACGACGAGTCCATGACGACGCAGCTAGTTGAGGCCCAATTAGAAGAGGACCAGGCGATGGAAGAGGGCGAGTCTCGATTGAAGTATCTCTGCATTCAAGAACGGAACCGCAAAATGGTACGGAACGTCGTCGAAAGCCTGCTGAAAGCAGCAAAAAGCCACGCGTCATCGCAAGCAATTGCATCGTCCTTACCCGCGGTCGTTCCTCTAAGCAGTCACGCTTACAACGAGATGAAGAAAGGCAAGAATGCGACAGGTTTCCCGACCCTCGAGTCGACTGGCATCCCGGCCTTGGGCAATTGGCTTACCGATACGTCTCTTCCCATCAGGGAAGCATGGGTTGACAGCGACCTGCACCATATTCAGGTGCTCTTCGACGCAGTTCATGGATGGACCCAGGATGAGTTCAATACTTTGCCCTTTCTCACCAAAGATGAGAAGAAGAAAGTTCGACAAGCAGTCCGCGAGGTCAATGATGACTTAAAGGTACTTAGGTTGACATCTATCACGAGAAGGGAACGGCCATGCTGATCTGTCATAGGAAATCATAAAGAAGGTGAGGATCAAGATCCAGCGCCAGTTAATCACCATGAAACCATTGCGGAAGAAGAATCTGGTAAAAACCTACGTCAAGATCCACGAGAACGGGGAAAATCAATTGGAAAGATCATTCAACAATCTCAAGCTTGCCGTCAAGGCGTGGGAAAGAAAAAACCCAAGAGGCCATGCGTCTTCTGCAGGTAAACATGAGAAGGTGCATTGGGGTACCTACAAGGCTTCTATTAGGAGACACGGCGGTCTTTATAGAACTGTTCCCAAAAAGGGCGCAGCCCGACGCACTTTCAACTGGATGGCCGACGTGTAAGTGCCACCCAAACATTCCCACCGACTTCCTTTGAGAGCTCAACTTACTAGGAAACAGGCACACATCATTCTGGCGAGGCCACCACGAGAAGTGGCAAACTGCATTCTCGCGGAACTTCCCCACACTCAAAGACAAGGTCAGGGGAACTGTCCACCTCGCGTTCGATCAATGGATCAGAATCTTACTAGGCAATGAGGAGCTTCCGACCTTATTCCGGGACATGGTCAGGAAGAACTCTTACAAAATGGAGAACGTCTTCCTGTTCTTCATAGACAAGATTGTGGCTAGCATGGACAACCTTCGCGGGAAGGCTTTGCGGATGTCAAAGGTTGACGTTCTCAATACTCTGACCAAGGAGATGAAGCCGGGTTTCGAGGCCGCGCTCAGCAAGAAGGGTATGTTATGTGGTCCAATGAACCTCGCACGGAAACACAATGACTAACTTTCAAGCAGGCCCAAGTATCATGAAGAAGCAGTCCGCGGAGATATCTGAGCACGTGGAGAACATTGGTTTCGGCATGTTCGAAATGGTCCGCGATGACCTCGAGGTAAAACTCCGAGACGAGGTTCATCAGTTAATGCTTGCAACCCGGCGTTACTGGCAAGATCCCAAGGAGGGTTGTGGAGTGATGATGCACAAGGAATTTAAGCGCATTTCTACCCGTCTTTGCGCCAACGGAGCCAAGAAGAATGATGAAGGGACGGGCATCGACGAAGCGACGGAGAAGACACTCGTCGATATCATTGACGTGTGGCGAAAGGAGTGGCAGCAAGTTGAAGCGCAGCTTCCTCAGGCTGCGCCCTTGGTCGCATTCGATGACAACGACGATGACGATGATGCGGGCAATGAGTTTGCCAAGGAGGACGAGATTGCTCTTAAGATGGAGCCTGGTGTTGGCGAGGATTAATTTGCGACGGGGGCATTTGGAGGAGATGTTTCCATGGCAGACATGGCTTGCTTTCGTTTTCTTCTTCTATTTCGCGGGTTGATTTTGCTTTGCTTTGCTTTACCTTACATTTACGGGATGGTAGGGGCAAGTTTGGAAGAGAGGCAGGTCGATTTCTTATCTGGAGGCCAAAGCCGCTCATCAGGTTCTTGCCCCGCCTCTCCAAGGGCATGATTTTCGTTTGCATTGGGCTTTAGATAGGCATAGATTTCCTCAAAGTCGAGGCAGCATTGCAATTTACATAATTGAAGATAAGGTCCCAGCTCCTTGCAGTCAGTGAGCTTACGAGTATATAAGTTGAAAGTGCCTACTTACATAGGAACAGGACTTTGTGGGCGCTTGGCCACGCACACCAGAACATCTCCCGATGATACAGCTAGTTCTTCCCGATAGACATTATGCACGGAAGACTCAGACATTATAAAGACATCGAATTCGTGCAAGTGGCCCTGAGGAAGCTTAACTCTCTTACTCCCATCATATCCCCCCACTTGCATAACCTCTCGAAGCCAGCACCAAACCACCACAAGAACTTCCCAAAGCAACCAGCGAAACACATTTCCAAGACCTAAGAACTGACAATCTCAATACCACATTTTCCCAACCCTTGCCATTCCCAAATCCCTAGCCCCACCACAGACCCCATTTCTGCCCCTCCACCCAACTGTACCTGCCCCGCGCCCCGCACCTCAAAAAATCCATCACGAAAACCCTCATCCTCCACAACAGCTCCCCCCACGCAGCAATCAAACAAGAGTCCTCTCCTTCGCTCTCGTCCCCAACCAGAGCTGCTTCAAGCAATTCTCAATCATCCAGCGTCGATGGTTTAGTGGTAAAATTCTCCGTTGCCATCCAAGCAGCGTCGGGGAGCCGGGGGTTCGATTCCCCCTCGACGCAATTCTTTTGTTTTTTTGGGGGTTGTGAGTGCTGCTATGTGATGAGTGAGTTGTTTTTGATGAAGATAAATATTGGAACCTTGATTTGACCCAATTTGAGTAGTTGAGACAAGCTTGTGGGATTGTGGTTTACGTCTTGAGAGATATGCTGTATGTCGATCCATATGAGCAAGAGCTTGGTTTGCCGAGGGTTTGCTGGCCCGTCTTTGAGGGCTCTGGCATCAGCTTGTGAGACAACCTGTAGAATCAGATATTTGAGATTTCATCAGCTGTGTCCGAATGTTCAGAGTCTGTGTCGGCATTTCAGGGGGGCGGAAATGCGCAGTTCTAGGATTCGCGTTCCGATGTTAGACGCAGCAGTCCTCAAAAGCGCAACGTTCATAGAAGACGAGGGATGCGATTAGCACGGGATTACACTTCCTTTAGTCTTCCTTTCTTAATACGAATAAGGCAGCTGTATTAAAGTTATTTATTGTATGAATTAACCGACACCGTGTGCGTTTGCCTGCCGTCTCTCCAGTATGAATAGTGCCTTGACCTGCGGGCGAGGAGGGGATGTTGATTCCGGTCTGCAGACTCCGGAAGGCCTGAGAGGCTTGATGGAATGTATATATAAAGACAATGCTTGCTACTTGGATGAAAGAATAGCAGATAGAAAAAAAGAGAAAAAAAAAAGTAAGCGCAGTATAGCGCGCCTGACAAACCATCAAGCGCGACAAATATCGCATCTTTGACGTAACGAAATGCCACCGATACGAGCAGCCAGTAAGTCAATATCACAAAGTTACAACCCACCAACATCCCGCTGGGTCCAAAACCCCCCTCGATGGGACTACATTTTGTAACATCACTCGAAAATTCCGGGCTAGAACTCTTCGTCAATCCAAACAAGCATCAGGTACAGAGCTCTATGCCCCGAAGCCCCGCGCGTCGCGCGCAACCCGTCGTAAAACCCATAGACGTGATCAACAATGTAGATCACCAAAACCCAAACCACCCCCATGGGTCCCTCACGCGAGGATGTATCTCAAGCCCTCCCCGCCGATCTCACAACCCAAGATGATCAACCCAGCCCGACTTAAGAACCGAGCTCGACCTTACCGGTAGGTACTCCTCTCAGCCCTAGCAGACGCCAAGCTCAACACAAGCTCAGCCTCAAGTCCTCCCATCCCATCTTCATCCTCACTCCGCCAATGATAGCTTCTATGATGACACCAATCTACAAGCCGCGCCCACTAATAACGGAAAGATCCGAGAGAAAGACAAGCCGGTTCCCGATCCAAGGGCATCTCGCGCGACCACATGCAGAAACGGGGTGGGAATGCTGAGTGCTAGTTGCTGACGTAGTGACCTAGGAACGACCAGTCCAGTCTAGGTACTCTACTCCCCAGTACCACCATCATGACTCTATGAAACCACAAGAGGGAATCACGCGGATGCTGCTCGACGACCTTAACGCAAACCACGTGCGGCTCCGCATCCCAGCCCACTCCGCCAGCTTCCATCTCAGGATGAGGTCTCGAGAGCCGTATCCGGAAAACTCGACTTCCCCGCCGGACCGAAACGAGAAAACTATCCCAAAGTACGGATACTTTATCGGAACCCCCCGTCTATACTCTCGTGGCCCCGAAAGATAAGCACGGCGGTGTAAAGTTCCATAGCTTTGAAGGCTATCGCGCGACAGGGCAGAAAAAGCATGGCTAACACAATAATCAAAAGAGACTTCATAGATATCATGATAAATAAATAAATAAATAAAATCATACTCCATAAGAGCCGCCGAAAAAGCTTCATCAAGCGCACCAACCATCCCGCAAGCTCGTCATCCCACGCGCGCATAACGCCCAACCCGAACCCGCCCTGACGGGTATCCATACCTCCAAACACACACCTTCGCGCAGACGCCAAAAGATGAGATGAAATAAGGTCACTATCCGCCAAACGGGATGGCCCCTGCATCCTTCCAGCACGTAATCCGCAAGTCTTGGCTTCGAAATCAAGCAATTCATTCCGTATCCCAAACGTAAAATTCAAGCCTATCCAACGATTAACACCATGGCTGTCAGAGTCAGGTGCGAATTGGTGTGGTCCGTGACCTGTCTGTCTGTCTGTTTGTCTGTCTAGCAAGCACTCAAGCATGCAAGCAAACATGGGAACCAATTCTCGTCCTCGGAGAACCCAACAAACAAACCACCTTCATCACTCCAAATCCAACAAAGGAAAAAGAAATTTCCTAAGAAAATAACAGCGGGAAAACAAGGAAACAACTCAAGCTCCGTAATCGACAAACAAAATCTAATCCGCGAAAAAGGCAAAGAGACATGCGACGACCACCCCAAAAAAAAGCGATGGACAAGCACATGTCAAGCCAACCATCGCGGCAATCCCTCCAAAATCTCCAAAGCCCGAATCGCACTGCCTAGCACCTAGCACCTGCATCAACGAACCCCCGGGTCCTGGTCGGGATCTGGGGCCGGACCACGGCCTTTCCTTCGTCGGTCGCTCTTTTCTCCCTCCCATGCGGATACTTATTGAATAACCCATTCTGCGGATTGCGGATTTTTAGTGTACCAGGACTCGCACACACACTCTTACACACGCACTGTCAGATTTGAACAGGTCTAGTTTCCATTATTTGTTTGTTTAGTGGAGGCTATCTACCCAAATCTGGGCCCCTCTCTCCCCCTCCTCCTCCACCCTCGTCCCGACTCCCAGCCCTCGACACGGACGAAGCTCTGGTGGGTGTGGGACAGTGGACAGTGTGGGTTCGAGGAAACGGACCTGAAGGCGTCCCCTGTTCTGGGCCCTATTGATTAGGTACTACTACACTATGCAGATGCTGACAGCTGGGAGAGATCCGTCCAGGGCAAGGGGGGAGTACTCCGTAGACATTGGACGGAAATCCCGGCTTGGCAAAGAAACAAACGGAAAAAGAGCCATTTGGTCCCCGCAGGATCACAGCACCGGCAATGTCGGTCTTTATGACTATGCTTCGCCGATAACTATCATGACTCTCGTCACTCTCGTGAAAGGCTGACCGACGACAAGCTTGCCTAGTATTCCAATGAACCTCTCGAATGCGTGGCACCATCGTTCCGGGTCAAAGTGGCTTTGATACGGGAGAATCAGTGCCGAAAGCCCATCAACCCTCCCGACCGAAGCGGCTCCTTGTGTCCTCAGTCCTCCCGCCGTCCGGAGGATACCGAAACCGACCTGACAGCCAAGCGGCCAAGAGCCAGGCGAAAGAAGCACGTATTGCTGGGCATGCGACTCTCGATTCAGGTTCAATAGGAAACTACTCCATCCATCTGCAGAGCCCATGGCCATGCAGCTGCATGTCCTCCGGGAGTGGGAACTCTCTTACAGCTGAAATGATGAGGGTGTCGGTGATGGGAATCCGCAAATGGGCGAAAGTGGGAATTCTCTTATCGCGTCATGCCCGCTTGCCCCAGGGCCTCGGAAACGTTCGCGGCTGCCCCTCCTCCTCTTCGAACTCGGCTCCGTACCCGTGCCTGAAAGTTCGTGTAGATCAGCCCGTTCAGGGCACTCGGTTCGGCTGGATGGTTTCTCATCCCCTCCGTTTCGGTTTGGCGCGCCGCTCATCTCCCCACACTTGCTCCGTCCCTTCATCTCACAGCTTCAACCACGTCCACAACACCTCCGGGCCATCCTATTCGGGGGAATCATCATCAATCGTCGTCGTCTTTCTCGGGGAAAATATCCCTCTTGCTTTTGAAATCGTTTCATCTTTCGTCTTTCCATTCGTCTCTGGACTACTAATCTCCGCTTCTTCTCGCGTCTCATTGGTATCGGGATTCATCCTCTGCGCCTTTCTCCGTGCGTCAAATGCTATTGTACAATTGTGTCATTCCGTAAAAACGTCTGCTCGCTGTGTGTTGGAATCGGAAAGCCCCCTCCCAGACGCCGGCCATGACATATCGTCCATGGCGTTATGCCCTGACCCAAAAATACTCCGAATAATTATTCAAAAATCCCTGCTCTGTGTTTGGCCTCTGAGGTATCATTGATCCCAATCCTGACAACCCGGGGTAAATCGCCTTCGTTTGCCTGCTCGAAGGGGCTTTTTTTCTGCGGCCGTCGCATCGTAGCGTCCTCTTCTCGAATCACTAAATAAGGAAAATATTAAGAAAAGTAAGGAATGCCACTTGTCCGTGGCTCGTCTGATGGTGAAGGTCGATACAACATTACGACCATGGTGTTGGGTTTCGCCAAAGAAGTTGACAAGTCGATCAAAGTCTCTGCCACGCAGTACGTTGTAGTCCCGCTCGTTTAGATGAGCGAGAACTTGGATTGGGGCATGTGGCCCAAGGCTGCTGCCAAGGCCGAATGCGAGTCGGGGGCATGCTCGGTGTAATGCATGTCTTCTTCGAAATAGGGCAGCACTTTGATGCCGCAGTGTTGCTGGAAGAATTGGGTCCCAATATCATATCGCTCCCTGCATCGCCTTTCCCACGGATCGATCTTGAGGGGGCTGTGGTAGCAAAAGGTGTTGTGCTCTGCGCCCCGCACTGGGAAGACGAGGCCGCCATCCTTCATCGCAGTCCACAGTTCCAGAGCCTCCATCCTTGTATTATCGGCGTTGGGCCAGGCTGCTTGCATCAGCTGAACAACGGCGTATCGCAAGGCTAGATCCTCTGCACTGCCCTGTCCATGACGACCTGCAATCTGCCTTCGTAGCGGCTGGAGTTCGGAGAGCAGTTTCTCGAGTCTCTCGGGGTTGGCGTGGTTGTAAAAGATGGCCAGGTCGATCCACGTCCTGGCTACGTAAGGGTGACGCCGCCCGTAAATAGCTTCGAGTTCTTCGGCGATGGTGGGAATGCAGCCCCACACGAGCTCCGATAGTGTGATCGGCCCATGCTTCTGTTGCACCTCGTATAGTGTGGAAAACGTCTGTCGTAGGGGATGAGAGCGTTCAAAGTTCGTCGAAGAATATGCCGCCAGGTACTTGCACAGGGCAGTCATCATGCCCGCGTCGCGATGCACCATTCCCAGCAAAAGTTCCTTGATGCCTTGCGGTGACAGTTGTTTGAGATCCATCTCCAGTCGTTTGAATGCCTTCATTAGCTGATGACCACCCGCGTCGTGTTCACCCATTTCGAATTTCTTGTTCGCATCAGCAAACATGTCGCTTGACCCCGCACCCCATAACATAATCGATGTCCATCCGACCTGCTTGTCAATTTCGACCTCGAATTGGCGGCAATGCAAGAATGCTTTCCGCATATTCCCAACAATCGTCTCCTGCGCTCGGAGCAGGTCTGGTGATCGCAGATAGCCCGGAGCGGGCGGCGGTGTCGGGGTACGACATCGCACGTATGACGGGAGCTGAGCTGGCGTTTCAAAGTCGACAAGATCGTACTCCGTCACTCCCTTCCTCTTGAGATACGTGCCCAGATTGACAACTCTGCCGTTGCGAACGAATTCAGACACTTTACCCTCGGCATCGCGTTGGAACTTCATAGAGAGAAGTCTCTTCACTTCGTCCTCGGTGTTGTTCTTCACGAAACCCCACTGAGAGAACCTGGTCTTGTACATCTTCGGCCTACGACAGTGAGATGAGATGAAGGAGAGTGCATCTGGAATGGAAACTTACGTTGCTTGGAAGCCATACTGGTCCGCCATGATCTGCATGACCTCTTTCAGGGGACGGCGTTCTTCCAGATACAGATGCTTGATGGTCCCCTTGAAAGACTCCCATGCCTCGGCAGGGACCTGCTCCCGCGATGGCCGACTACCTGTCGCAGGCTTTGGCGTGGGTGCAATACTAGGTGCTCGAGCATGACCCTGCAACATGATTAGATGGAATACTTTATTACGACAAGAAGAGAACGTACTGGGAATGAAGTGGTAGGCGGAGGGCCAAAAGGCGTTTGCATCACACCCGGGGTGCCGGGCATGAGGCTCGGGGCCGGTGTCGGTGCTGGGCTGAACGTTGACGTTGCCGGGCTGAAGGGTGTGGGAGCAGGACTAAAGGCGGTAGTAGGTGGCGGACTGAAGGCGTTGGCATTCGGCGGCGGGCTGAAGGTGTTCGTGGTAGGTAGAGAGCTGAAGGCATTTGCAGGGGAGCTGAAAGCGTTGGCAGCACTGAATGTTGTTGCTGACTGACCAAAGGCATTAGGTTGGGAAGCGAAGGGTTTGGACACTGCGCTGAATGCGTTTGGTTGAGGACTGAAGTTGCTTGCTTGGTTTGCAAAGTGCTTAGTCGTAGTATTGTTGAAGTCATTCGTCGTCGGAAAGTTGAAGGCGTTGGCTTGTGACTGGAAACCCTTGTTCGACGTGTTGAGGAAAGGATCCAGCTGACTGAAGTCGGCAGTTTGATGTTGTTGCTGATGTTGCTGCTGCTGATGTTGCTGCTGATGTTGCTGCTGTGGCTGTTGGTGGTGCTGGTGTTGCTGTTGCTGTGATTGTTGTTGGTGTTGTTGCGGTTGATACTGCTGAGGCTGATGATGGTGCACTTGAGGAGGAGGCGCGGGGTTCGAGGGACCAGCAGCAGTAGTCATACGACTGTTTCCATCTCCAAATCGTGAGTCCGGCGTGAACATGGGAATGTTAGAGGGTGCGCGATCCAATACTGGCTTCGTATGTCTGGGCACTGGGGGACGATATGATTCCGGAGCACGGAAGAAAGTGGGCGTGGCCGGGCTGTGAGTGACTGGACTTGTGATTCTACTCATTCCTGAAGAGCTCATGTTTGCTGTGCTGCCGTGCATGCTGCCAAAATGTGCCGACGACGGACTCGCTATTGATGGACTTGCGACTGAACTGGCTGGGCTCATGATCCTATTACTGCTTGGTGGTGCGGCGCGAATCCCCTCAAAGCGCGCAATCAGGTTGGACACTCCGGCAGGGGGACTGAACTCATCGAGTTCCATTCCTTCGTCTTGCTGTGGCGCGTTGTTCATCGAAGACCCAACGTCGAAGCGCGCATTCTGCTGCGCGACTGGTGAAGTCCAGTCCATAGATGAGTCGAAGTCCCTCCGGACGGAATCTTGTTGCGGCGGCGGACATGTCGAGGGACCGCCAAAGTTGAGCGGAACACCGAACCTAGAATACGGTTGACCAGATGTGTTGAGAGCGAGGCGGCCATGTTGACTGCCTCCATATTCTGATCCAGAGGGAACACCGCGGGGTGGTTTGTCCCCAGAATGATTGAACATCTCGGCCGCGTCCCGCGTCCCCCGTGGAGCAGAGGTTCGGACCGCTGGCTAGAAAGATGTCAAGACTCGAGACGAGTCAAAGCTCCTCGGTAGGACAGGTGCCTCGTGTCGTCGTCGAATGCGATTCATCCAAGAAGCCCAGCGCGCTGCCCTGGTGGCAAGCATCAATTGCCCGTCAAAATGGAGGGGGTGCCACTGGGCCTTCAAATGAAAGACGAGAGCGTGGGAGGAGACCAGACAAAAGTGCCCATGATCGTCGCCACATAAAAGAGAAGGTCTCGGTCACTCTGGCTGCCAAGTTAAAAATAGAGCGGCAGAGGAGAAAGCGTCATGGCCCAGTATGGGTAACGAGAGGGTTCGAAAAGATTAAAGACTGACTGAAGGGCCCCCCGACAGTTGACACAGGTCGAGATCAGGACGGGTCAGGAACAGACAGGTCGGATTAGGATAGGACGGGAAGCCAGAGCTGGAACTGAACGGGCGGAACGACAAGCAATGTTGTCTTGTGCACCAGAGAGAGATATGGGGGTGAGATGGGGGGGGACAATGGACGGGGGAGCCGTTGCTCCAGGCCAGTTCGTCCGTTCAATTTGGGCTGGTAATGGTGAAGTGAGTGGTAGGGCTCCCACTCGCTCTCAGTCTGTCTCTCTCTCTCTCTGTCTCTCTGTCTCTCGTTTCTTTCGCGGCCTGTCTGTCTCTCTCTCTTGGTCGAGAAAGACGAAGACCACTTTCCGGTGTTGAACTGGCATTGGTCGGCGGTCGCCAAGTTCCTCCGTGTGGTGAAAGCTGCAGGCAAAAGTTCCTTCGCGTAATTTCCTCAACAAGGAAAGCGAGCGTGGCACATGGGTAGAACAAGCCCGTATCCCGTCCCTTCGGGGCTCTCTTTTTCAGTGATAAGAGGGCCTCCCAGCAGCCAGAACCATAGCTGGGTCCGTGGAGCTGCGCGAAGGGAGGGGCTAAAGAAGCGTTACATGGCCAATGGCTGTTCAGACGGTCTGGCAGTCCGGGCGTTTGCTAAACGAATGGGGAACCATTCACAACGCCTTTTGCTGGTCGGAGCGGGCGCTGGCTACCAATTCGACCGAGAGAAGCAAGATGAGTTGGGGGGAACCCTCGACGGCGGATGGGGGGCCTGCCTTTGCTATCGAAGCTGGGGGCAAGGCGGTTCGTCCTTTGGTTGACTGTGGGTACATGCGCACTCCCTCCCTCACGCTCGCCCTACTGCGTGTGTATGTATATGTGTGTGTGCCTCTCTCCAGCCTCCGCGTCCAGGAGAGCCCTGGGATTTCGTCCAATGTGCCCGACATGTCGACATTGCTACCATGGGCCTGTGCGAAAGTGCTCGATGGGTAGGCGACCAATTCCAATTTCCAGGGTGGCCAGGAGGCGGGGAATAGGTACAATGGTGCCACCACTGTTCTAGATTAAGAAGGTGAAAGAGCGTCCTGGTCGGCCTAAAAGACGCCAACGACCGAGTCCTGACTCAGACCACCAATCATCGTGCCTGTCTGTAAGTATCCTATCAACTAGGCCCTCCCCCTTTTCGGAAAGGCCGTGGTGTGAGAGGCAGAAAGACTGAGAGACAGCGGCGCGAACTGTCACCAACCAAGCATCAGGTTCCAACCGGGCAGCCTTCCGACATCTCCCTCGGTCTAGGTCCACATCGCTGATGATATTCAAAGAGCGCCGCTGTCCGCCGTCAATCATCATGGAGGATGGATGGGTTGCTGCTCGCTTTTGGCCCTCCCCTCGTTAGCCAAGCAACCAAGCCATCGGCCTGGGAGGGAAAAGCTGGGGGAGCTGCCGCGGGCGGTGGACTAACGCCGTAGAAGCATGGTGCATGTTCCAACGGCCTTCCACCAAGCCAACCTGGCACTCCTGGTTCCATCCGATAAGCCATTTGGTGAGCACGGCCAATGGTCAAGGTGCTGTCAGAGACACATCCGAACAGCGCCGCTCCAAACTAACCCGTCTGGTCTTTGGAAGGCCGCAATCGCGGGGTTTCCATTTCAGCTACCTTCAATGGGCCGGCGGCGGGACTGGACCAAGAAACGGACTGGGGGCGAGTTTCCGCGGAATGGCCGCAAGACAAAGCAGATCTCTGTCTAAGGACGCCACGATTCATACTCGAGTACCATCTTTTAGTTGGAAATTGGCATGGCATTGGGCGGCTCCTGTGGGCACTGCCGAGCGACGGTCAACATGCTTTCGGCCGGTTGCACCGCAGGCTCGTCCGTGCTGTCCTGTCAAAGCCGAGGCGTGGCCAATGGCTGACTTTGATGGCTGTTCTCGTTCTCGTCCATCATGGGGCAGAGCGTTAGGCGTCTTCAGCCTCTTTGCAGGCCACAGGAAATCCGCCGAAAGCAGCGGGAGAAGTGCAGCGTACCAGATGGTAAGTGAACGGTGAGTGGCTGACAGCCCCCGAGATATGAACCGCAAGTTGCGAGATGCCGAAAAACATTTTCCAACGGAACATGAGATAATAGGTACCGGCTAATGTTCTCGAATTTTCGACCCCAATATCCGCGGAGCCAAGGAGATCCCTGCAGTGCGTCTCACTAGCAGGAACAGCCGGCGACGGGCTCCTTGCTGACCTAAAATGAAGGTGACCTGACATGAAATGTCAGTCAATACACACTAAGTAGCAGTTTGCTGTCCGAGCTGCGGCTTTGGCTACAGCGAAATGTGCTTGGTCTCGGACCTGGGCTAGCCAAAGGTGGTGTTTAGCATAACGCTCATCGGGCAGCTCATGAGAGAGAAAGTCGTCAAGAGCTGACGCTAAGCGGCATGCTCCCTCTTTACGTGGGTCCCGACGGCAAGGCGAACAGACGCCGACGGGTCCACGCATGGGAATACTCCATCAAGTAGGCCCGAGGAGTCGGCAATGTTAATGTAAAGTGACGCGAGCCAAAGCACGACTTCTGGAGTCCAAAGTCGTGCTTCAAGTCGTGCTCCAGCAAAGATCTACCCTGGAATCGTTGATGGCTGGGTCCATGGCCCGGGGCACGCGAGCCGAGTGGCTCTGAGGATTCGTGATCGCCATCGGAGTCATCCACTCCTCGGAAGAGACCGATTGTTTTTTCGAAAAGCATAAACATCAGATTGGGACGCAATTGTAGTATCTGGATGGGACAATGAAGATGTTCCCTGAGATGTCGATGACGCGCTTCGGATCGATTCGAATGCGCAAGTTGGGATGTGGGCGACAGGTGTGGCAGCCATCAGGTGACAAAGCAACTTCTTGGGTTATCTTTCGATGCCATCGAATCAGCTCAGCTCACACTGCGGACTGGCGGGCTGCTGAGTGACAGACTTGCTGTGCCATGATAAGTCGGGGTATTTGGAAATGCGAACCTTTTTTTCCAAATACTTGGGTCCTGGTCGTTTGGTCGATAAGGAACTACAAAGTTCCACCATGTTTACTTTGGGAAGGTCGAACAGGGTACTTCGGTCAGGTATCCGTAACTGTTGGTTCTCAAGACCTATGCTAACCGATCGGGCGGTCTTTTTCTGCTGTGCACTTCTCACTCACCGAGATTGCCGGCAATATCGACGTAAGTTGATGCGGCATTTCATCTAGCTCGAGAACGGTTGTTCGTAGCAGCGAAGAGCCTGGAGATAACTCTAAACTTGTCGTCTAGGTCGGTAGGAGGAAAACAGGCTTTCTTGGACGAGTAAGCCGAGCCGCAGGGCGGATGTAAGCAGTCAATAGAAGGACGCGAGACGGCACGATGCAAAGCAACCCCAGGCTTACTCCGCGCCAACGAACCACGAGAGCATCCGTATTCGCATGGACCTGAACGGCGCTGTAGACGAAGACTTTACGTGGATTACGTTGCGATTGTCGATGTTCTCCGTCTGCTGCAGCTGAAGTATAGGATCTGGGTTCTTGGTCAGCTCATAGCTTGGTGATACTTTCTAGCCGACGCAGACGCCTAATGCATGGTATTGCTCATAGTCCAATGTGTCAAAAAGAGGAGCAACATGATGTTGGTGTCAGTTGACACAGATAAGAACAGGGCAACGCACTTGACCTTACCTGATATCCCAGAGATGCCAAGATGTTCAGCGAGACAGCGGTGTATTCTAGGTCGAGACTTCCAGATTCGCAAAGTGGAACTTCTTCTGTTGCTATTCAGGCTTGGTCAAGCCAAGCTTGTTACAGCCGAGATCATCGTCTACTCCTGACAATGCTGGATGAAATGGACAAGAATCTTGCATCGTCTGCAAATCTCTATACCAAAGGAGAATGGCTGGTGTCTGGGGACAAACGATATGCCTGGTGTAGTCAATATTGGCAAACAGTCATTGGTTCGGGAGAGCCTCGATGACTCCAGATTGGGTTCATTGCTCCGCGATGGCGTGGCACGCGTGGCTACTGACGA